TGAATGTCTGTGCACATAAGCTAAGGTAACCTCAGCATGGAAGAGCCGTTGCCCCACAAAGAACACATCAATGTATTTTGTAATTTCACCACTGTTGTCTCCCAAAATATTTTCAGAGATTTCCTAAAAATGAATCTCAAAGCTGAACCATGACCTGCAAAGCCCCTGGATTTATTTTTTCCAGTGCCTGAAATAGTGTTTGTCACATGGGGTAGGAAGGGGAGGTAGTAATTATTGAGTGAATACACAAATAAGAGCAAGAAAATAATCTACTGAATACTTGATTTGTGAATTAAAGTTCTCTCTAGCTCAGTATCCCAAAGTTATTTAAAGTTTACTATTTAACACATTGTGTAGCTTTTTTACTTTTTGCCTCTGCTTCTGTTATTATTTATCATTTCCATTCCTTTCCCCCCAACCCTGCAATGTACCAAATTCTATGCATTAGGTCAGAATTCTGTCTTTTCTTTAAAACCTTCTCTCACTGTGCCCATTGTCTCTCCATGTGAACCACAAGGTCATCATGCCCTCCTGGTCTCATTCATTTTTTTTTTTTAAAGAAATTTTCTTTTTTTTTTTTTTTTATTTATACAAGCACTGGGTACAGTCAGAAGCGCTGGAGAGTGAGAGAATTCACCAGCGCCAGAGTGGAGAGCAGAGTGGGCAGACTGATGAAGTACACTGCTTAGGGGAGCAGCGGGTGGCCGGAGAGGTCTGCGGTCCCATCCGGTGCTGCAGAGGCTGCGCGCAGCTTCGCAACCCAGAGCTCAACCGCTGTGCCACGGGGGAGGCCCTGGTCTCATTCATTATTGATCTGTGTGTCTTAACTTCCCAACCATAGGCTGAGTACAGATTATATTTATATATTTTTTCTTTCCATTTTCACATGCATTTTAAATGGAATTAACTTTTCAGTTTTTGTTAAAAGAAAACATTTTAGCAAATTTGAACTGAACAAGTGAAAGAAGTGAAAAAATACCCACAAATCCACCAAGAAGAGATAATAACCATTGTCAAAAAATAGACACACCACCACTAACATAACCCCCAACACACACACACACACACACACACCATTTTTCTTTTTTAAAAAAGATTGCATCATACATATGGTAATCTGCATTAAAAAATTAAGATTGTATCAAGTATAATTTCCCTTTAGTATATCTAAGTTGTCACTGACACTTAATTGCCACAGTGTTTAGTTGTGTTGACCAATCCCTTACTGACTGATTTTGAAATTGGTTGCAATTTTTCAGTAATGCAAATACATAATGTACATCTGGGAGGTAAGTCCTGTGAGCATGTTGAAAGAGGATAGGTTTAAAATCATTGTGGTGGACTGGAACGTGAGTTGACTAGGGAAATGCTTTTCACATTTTTGTACTGATGTGTCCCTACAAATACTTCTGAAAAATTTTATTTGCTTTTAAAACTTGATAGGTGTAATTTTTATTATTTTCAAATATATCTAAATCTCAAAGTTTCTGGCAAATTGTAAGTATATCCTTATTAAAATTAAGCTTCAACATCACTGAAAATTTATCTGATGAAATCAAAACATACTGACTTGATATCCACTTAAATTTTATTCTTTAAAAATAATGAACTAGCTCCCTTAATGATCTGAAATGTTAGTCGTTTTCTTCTTGAACTGCTGATTTTATTTTACTTCACTTACATTTGTGCTAATGCAATTAAATTCATACTATCTTTTAGGTATAAAGCATTTAAAAGTCTTTTATTGATCAACCATTCCAATAAAATTTATATAAAAATGTAAATATTTAAAATTTCCTGGGATCATAAGAAAATTAAAAAATGTATATCATACCGTTTGAGAGAAAATTTGTTTAATATAAAATAAAAGGCTTATTTTCCCTCCAGTTAGATAACATAGCTATGGATACGTGCTGCTCATTGCTAGAATGAAAGTAAGGGCAACATTATTTTTTTCTTATTATCCAAATTTATAGATGTAAATGCTGAGAAAGACTTCATGTAAATCAAGTAGATGGGAATGGGAAGAGTTTTCTTATAGCAGCATTTCTCAATTCTTTGAACTATGAGTTATTTGATAAAACTGAAATAGTACTCTATTACCAAAAATATTTATAATGACCTGTCAGCAGAAATCAATTAGGTTGTCTGTCAGCTTTATTGATAGTTACCACCACAGTACTAGAAAAATGCATTTGGGGGTCAGCCACAGGCATTAGTGAGAACACATTTGAGTTTGATAGTTATAGATATACCATCTGTCATGTTTTGAGCTTTGCTCCAATGCTACTTAACTCCTCAGGTGGAGTAGCTAGAGTGGTAAACAGGAAAAAGAGGAAATTGTAGTCAAATGTGTGATTCAGTGGTTTGGGAAGTGGAGTAGTTACAGGTCAAAAACATGTCCAAGATGTGGCCATGCTGTGAAGTTGATGAACTTCGTTTGTTCATGAACAAATCACTGCAGATGAGTTTACAGAAATAGGGAGCCATCTTGCTTTTATGATGGGCATTATATTTCTATTTTTTAAATATTTTATTTTATATAATTCTTACATCATTTTTCATTTTTGCACAATGTATGCATTTTCATTTTGGTTATATTCCCCATACAATTGCACCCCCCCCCTTATTTTGACCCTAGTCCTTCCTCTTCCCGCCACTCCCCCCCGTAGTATGTCTCTGGTTTATAGTTGCTGGTTGATTTTGATTTTCACTTTGTATTAATTAGTCTTTTTCCTGGTCCCTTATTTAGGTTTTCTAAATTCCTTCTATGAGTGAGACCATCTTTTTCTTTTTCTTTTTTTTTAATTTTATTTTTATATTCCCCATACAATTGCAACCCCCTTATTTGGACCCAATCCCTCTTTTCCCCACCCCACCCCCATAGTGTGTCTCTGGTTCATAGTTGTTTGTTGATTTTGATTTTTTCTTTCTTATAGCTATTCTTTTTCCTGGTCCTTTATTTAGGTTTTCTAGATTCCTGCTATGAGTGAGACCATCCAGTATTTTTCTTTTTCTTTCTGGTTTATTTCGCTGAGCATGATCCCTTCCAGCTCCATCCATGTTGCTGCAAATTGCATGTGTTTATCAACCCAAATGCCCAAAAATAGATGACTGGATCAAGAGATGAGGTACATATACACAATGGAATATTATTCAGCAGTCAACAAAGTATTTTTCTTTTTCTTTCTTATTTCGCTGAGCATGATCCTTTCTAGCTCCATCCATGTTGCTGCAAACTGATTGTTTGATGGCACATTTTTGAGCCATGAACTTCACTAAAGAGTTGCTAAGACTTTAGTTAGTCCTAGAATCATTGGCTTATTGGGTTTTCCTACCGCTCCAGAATAAATCTTGATGATTTTTATTTTCCTCAAAAAACATTTATTCCAAATACATTATCAAATGTGTGAATATAATTCTTTACATATCAGTTATTTATTTATTTGTGACTTTGATGGTAAATCAGTTTCTGAGATATATTGATAAATTGTTTTGATGTTTTTATTTAATTTTGTGTCTACTCTGAGATTTATTGATTTGAATATATTTTTAGAACCATCAAATCACTTTTCCATATATGTAGGAATTACATTTTCCTCTTCTTTTCTGATTAAAATTCCAATACTTGAAAAAAAGTATATATCAGTGAATAAAACAGTCAAGATTTTTTTTATTTTCAGTTCTGTAAATTATTTTTTCCCACAGTACATTGCCTTGCTTCTAAAAATTAGATATGTTTATTTTACTAGGTTTTCCTTTTCACTGTATCATATTCCATGTAGTATTTATTTTCATAATATTCCACTTAAAAATAAAACAGGATGTTTTATGCACCTAGATTTCATTTGCCTCATCTTTTCTTGCTTTGCAATCCATTTTTTATGAAGGAAACAATCAAACTGCACTTAAAAAACAATCAACAATAGATATAAAATATTTAGCATTTAACATATTCCAAGATTTGCCAATTTCTTCACCCAAATGATATTTAATCCCCCATATAGCCCTGTGAGATATGTGCTGGTGTTACCCCAGTTTGCTGATGGGGAGACTTCACTGATAGAGACTGAGAGACCTATCCCAAGTTTCCCAGCTGTTGTCCACAGGCTTCAGACCTCACAAGTCCTTGATGCAAGAAATCACACTGTTAGTGTCTTAAACACACTATTAGAAGAATAGAGAAGAAATCTTTAAAGCAGAACATCAGCATAGTTAATGCTAAGATTTAATTGTTGGGCAAGTATTATGCAGTTATTTTCAATGTTAATAAAATTGCCCAAGATAGGGGCCTCCCTAGTGGTGCAAGGGGTTAAGTACCGCACTATGAAGTAATACGCAGCATCTGCAGCACAAGTTTGATCCCCTGCTGGCCAGGGAGCAACATACATGCCTCAGCAGACCTCTTCTGACTCGCCTGCTGCTCCCCTCAGCAGTGTACTTCGGTCAATCTGCCTGTTCTGTTCCCTACTCTGTCTCTGGTGAATCCTCTCACCCGCCCCGCCCTGCATCTCTGGCCTGTACCCCAGCTCTTGTATGCATAAATAGATAAATCTTTTTTAAAAATTGCCCAAGATATTCTACTACTGTACTCTGGACTCAAGTTTTTTGTAATAGTCTAAGAAAAATCTTTTATTCATCTACAGTGAGATGTACTTTCTGTAAATAATTGTTTCCTTTAATCACTTCCAAAGTGGGGGTAAAATAGATATCGATTAGCCATTTTTCATACCCTGTATCTTCAAATTAGAAATTTGATGTCTTACTTGTAGCTATAGAATGGCAGAAAAGGAGACATTTCATAAGGTTTACTTCTTTGGGCAACCAAAGGCAAATCCCTGTCTTTTTGCCTCTAACCTCAATCCCATTTAGTAATAAATAGCTTTTAAAATGAACACAACCACAATTTTATAGTCATTTGTAAAATGATGAAGGTATTTAATAACAGCAAATGACTACGGTTCATTAATTTGTGATTCTTTTCTTTCTTTCTTTTAAAGATAGTGTTTTTAGAAGAAGCTTCTCAACAAGAAAAGCTGGCCAAAGAATGGTGCTTCAAACCATGTCAGATAAGAGAACTGAGCAACCAGTAAGTCATAACCAACTTCTCCCCTTTTGCGAGATGCCATTGACTAGCCTCAAATGCCAGAAAACCTGCCTTGAAGGACAGAAGAGATACTACATGATCAGTGTTGTTATTGTTATTATTCATTAGTATTATTAATAATAAGAGGTGAGGAGGGAAGGAGAAGGCAAATAAGAACAGAAAGTTGAAGGATGGAAACTTTGAGAACTAGAGCTGTCATCTTTCATTTATTTCCTTTGCTCAAGAAGTAGGATCTGGAGGTGAACCCACAAGGGCTTTCAGCCCAGGGGAACACAGAGTGTAGGTAAGTGTACAGATAACTAACCAGGACAGTGATAGATGTGTTACCTCCGTAAAGGAGTTAAAGAGGGACCGTGATAGAGATAAACTGTAGCAGGGGAACAAAGGGGCATTCCGGGACCGATTCCTGACAGCATGGTTAGATTGTCCTGTCTCCAAAAGTACACTTGAGCTGTGATTTAATGTTCCAACTACTTGTCATAATATTTTTAAAAAGACTTTATTTATTTATTTTCGTGTTGAAGAATGGGTGTAGACCAGAGGTGCGGGGGGTGAGAGGATTCACCAGAGACAGAGTGGGGAACAGAACAGGCAGATTTACTGAAGTACACTGCTGAGGGGAGCAGTGGGCGAGATAGGAGAGGTCTGCTGTGCTCTATGTCGGTTAGCTCCCTGGTGGGGGATCAAACTTAGGCCCTAGAGGTGATAGCACTGAGACTTAACCCTAGGCCACCAGGGAGGCCCATTATCACAATTTTTAATAATTGTACAAAGTGTGTTTGTTTCCTGCGATTGTCCACTCATCATAGTCTAGTTGACATGTCTTATAGAAATGGTAATACTTTTTTAAAAAATGAAAAAATTTATCTAGGTTCAGGCCAAGTATGTTTCCAAAGTAAAAAAAAAAATAATTTTAATTCTAAAAACTTTTATTACTTTTTATAACTTGTAGTAAGAATACTGAACTAGGAGTTTGAGCCCTTGCCTTGAACCCTCGCTGCAGCTTTGAGATGGTTAGGTGTAAAGCAGGCCACTTCTTTCTGTGGCTTGTCTCCTAGGCTGTAGCAGAAGGAATGTCCTGGGTGATCGTGGACGCCCCATCTCCTGCAGCAGATCTGCAAACTAGGTCACCCCTAGGCTCTTAGTCAGAAGAGCTATCCACAGTCCAGAGAGGGGATGACTGGTTATGAGGCTGCACTTGCATTTATATTCCTATCTCTTGCTTCTTGCCCTCTCCCTGCTGCTTTTTCTATAGACTTGGAAGACTGTGGGCAATGAGCACATTTATTTCTATAGATAAATCCAAAGAATATGGAGATAATTCCAGGTACTTCTGCTGTTATTGTCTGCCCTGTCTTTGTAGGTTTTCATGGGAATAGATGTTGAGAAACAGTCACCTGCTTGTGCGCCTTGGTGAAGGGGGATTAGAAGGTTTGGAAGGGGGTGAGAGGAGGATGGAATGTTGGGTGGAAGCTGCTTTTGGAGTTAAATCCATCAGTCACAAGAGATTCCAAGGGACCTGTGGCACTACAAAGGGAAAGTGGTTAGCAAAAGATATAAAGGAGACTTTGGTGGAAGACTGAAGCATTTGAAGAAAAATCGTCTAAATCATATTTAGCTGCAGTTGAATTTCTCTAAGTCAGAATTAAAATATCACAGAAGATGCTATTTCTGACAGTCTGTTTAACAGACTTAGTATATCTCCAGGTCTAGCTCAGCATGGTGTGAATTTTTTTGGAAAATGAAATTTACAACTGGTGCCCTCTGAGTGGTGCTTAGGTAGGAGTGGATCAGAGTGTGAGATTATGGACCACAGACAGATTGACAGGGCCAGCACGATGGGGAGGAAAAAGCACTCATACCATCATATCTTTTGCAGGGTAGTGGGATGGGGGTTGACAAGGCATGCTGACAGATTGAGCAACGCAGGCCTTTGTATTAGTCATGTGTTTTGATGGCAGAGCTTTTATTAACGTTGTCCATTTAGTTAAAAGGTGGGTGGATGTTTTAATAAGTATACCTATGGACATACTGTTCTTCCTGAGGTGCTGTTGTAGTCTGCAGGCTTGGAATATGAAAGCGATGGCTTTTATTTGGGGAAAGTTGAGGTTTTCTAAGGCAATTATGAAAGTGAGTAAAATGAAAAGAAGAAAGCTAAAAAGCAGGAGCAAGGAGAGCTTTTTCACCTTCTTCTGCCTCTAAGCCCCATTTCTGAAGTGTCTGCAGTTTGACTTTTGATGGTTATACCTTGAGTGAGTGAGATCTTGAGTGAAGAACTCAGTTCTAATCCTGACTGGGCCACTAGTGAATTCCTTGTCTGAAAATCAGGCTGAATTTCCTGACCTCCCTCACATTGTCAGTAAAATGAGTTGTTGGGCACACTGACCTCTAATCTATATGCAGCTTGCACAGTCCACATTCTGTAATAAATCCTGGACTATAACCTTGATTACATGACTATTTCTGGTAATAAACATTTCAAAGTGCTTCCTTTTTTCTCTTTTTTTTTAAGATTTATTCATTTATTTATACAAGCACTGGGTACAGTCAGAAGCGTGGGAGGGTGAGAGAATTCACCAGAGCCAGAGCGGGGAGCAGAACAGGCAGACCGATGAAGTACACTGCTGAGGGGAGCAGAGGTCTGTGCGCCATGTGGGACCCTCCGCCGGTGGCGGATCGAACAGACGCTGCAGAGGCTAAAGGCAGCTTCGCAACCCAGCGCTCAACCGCTGCGCCACCGGGGAGACCCTCACAATGCCTCCTCTTGCCTAGGAAGGATGGCTTGTTTTTCTGGAGAAAAGTTGCACTTCAGATGCAATTAATCTTTGCTCCTCCGTTTCCTTTGCAAACTTTGTTCGGTCAATTATCTCCTTAACTTCTTTCACCTCTGCTACCTTAAGAACTTGTTGAGGATTCTCCATGGAAAATAAAATTGACTTTCACTTTATCTTTACATTACCATTCTAACTTTCACTACCAAAGAATGCCAAAGGGAGCTCTCTGTCTGCTCAGGGTTTTCTCTACCACCTGTCTTTCGTGTCTATGACTCCTCAGCAGCACCTAGGACAGTAACTAAATGTACTAGAGAATCTCTCAGTACTTACATAATGAAGGACTGAGTACATGTGGAATTGGGTGCCTTCCCAACTATTGCTTAAAAGTAAGAGCTCACAGGAGCCTTTGAGACCATTCATTTCAGCCTTGACCCTTAAAATTTCTGACACTGATTACTCCTGCCCTCCATTGTAAAACCCTCCCTACACTGCTGTCCTCAACCCCTGAAGGCCCCCCACCATGTCCCAAGCCTCCTGACAATGACACTGCCTAGACCTTCTCCAGTCTTACTCCCTGAGTAGAGGTCTTTATTCACAGAAATCTCTGGCACCCCCAACTTTTAGGGTTACCTATACAGGGAGACACTCTGATCCAAATCCCATCTTTAACTCTTGTGATATCTCACGTTTCCAATTGCTTTTTTGAACACTTTGACTCCAGGTTTCCTGTGACATTAGCCCTCCCTCCAAAGGGACTTTTCTTCTAAATTCTCTGTGCTTATATTTACAGCCTTACACGCTCAAAAATTCACTGTGACTTGTTCCTTTCTTGTGTTCCCTAGAGCTAATAGATGATCAAATTCTTTCTCTTGTATTTATCTTTGCCCTTTCTGTCCCCATAACCAACATTTTTATTCAGAAATCTCATGGTTGGGAGGTAGAAGGAGTCTCTCAACACATGCCCTTCACCACTAGATACATCTTTCTAAACCTGATTTATATGTCATAGTTCTGCCAAAGAAAATTAAAAAAAAACTAATATCCTCATGATCCCCTTCCTCTTGGCTACAGAATAACGAATGCATCTAAATTGAGTAGTTGATTCTGTTAAAAACACTTTTTTGTTATTATTTTTTAGAAAACATTTTTATATAGCAAAATACACAAATCTTTGGTATATAATTTGTTAAATGTACAATCACTCACTCACACACACACACACACACACACACACACACACACACACACACACCCCTATGGACCCAACATACAAATCAAGATATAAAACATTCTTATCAAACTAGAAAGTTCCCTCATACCACCTGTCTTTCTCTCGGCACTCCTCTTCAGGGTACTCCCTAGTCCCTCATAGGCAGTCACTGTCTGACTTCTATCACATAGGTTACTTTCACCTGTAGTTGAATGTTACATAAATGGAATAATTCATATGCATATATTTTTTTTGTCTGGATTCTTCCATTCAACCCTAAGTTTTTGAGATTCATCCACATTGTTGTCTTTATCAGGAGTTTATTCTTTTTTGTTGCCAAATAGTATTTCATTTTATCAATATTCCACAGTTTAACCCTTTTGCCTTTGGTGAATATTTGGTATGTTTCTATTTGAGACTAGTATGAATAAAGCTTCAGTGACAATTGGTTACAATTTTTTATAATTAAGTCTTTTTTTTTTTAAAGATTTATTTATTTAATAATACAAGCGCTGGGTACAGTCAGAAGCACAGGAGGGTGAGAGAATTCACCAGAGCCAGAGCGGGGAACAGAACAGGCAGACTGACGAAACACACTGCTGGGGGAGCAGCTGGCATGGCAGGAGAGGTCTGCGCATCATGTGGGACCCCCGCTGGCAGCCGGGGATCGAATGGGCACCGAAGAGGCAGCCTCACAGCCCAGCGCCCAACCGCTGCGCCACCAGGGGAGGCCCTACAATTCTTTTTAAAACACGTTTCATTGCACTTAGGTAAATTAACAGGAGTCAATTTGCTAGTTGAGACCTTTATTAATTTGACCAATCTACACCCTTTTCCTCAATCTCTCTCTCTCTCTCTCTCTCTCTCTCTCTCTCTCTCTCTCTCTCTTTCTCTCTCTCTCTCTCTCTTTCACACACACACACACACACACACTCCTCACTCCTAATCTCAATTAGACAATAACCTCTGAGGATGAGAATGTTCAACTTCTCTTTGGACTTCCCACAAGGCATAGTAGAGTACCTTAAACATAATAGATACTTGAGAAATAGTATCTAATTGAACAATTGAAACTACAAATTCAATTAGGTGAAGAAGTCACACTGCCATTTCATCTCATGGTGAAGGAGATAGTAAGAGCTCCAAGAATAAAGAGTCCTGGAAAGGCCAGTGTCTAGTACCTAAGAAGAATTTGTTTTTCATCCTTCCTCTCTGCCTGCCCTTACGTTGTTGCCTTTTCTTTAGGTTGCCTAATTTACAGGTCCTCACTGTTCTTTATTTACAGTGTGATTTAGCAGTTCTATGACAAGGAGGGTAGAGACTAAAGGTATTGAGTCTACAGTTAAACTGCCTGAGTCTGAATCCCAGCGTTGACTATTTGAATGACAGTTTTTTAAAATCTGTGAAAATTTCCTGAACCTCATTTTTCTCTTATGTAAATGAAACTAACAACACTGCTTGTTAGGCTTGTTGTGAATATTGAATCATCATAACAACTAATATGTTTTTAGTGCTTTCCACTATCTTGGCACTGTTTTTCTACAGGCTGGCTCAATCCCCACAACAGCTTTATTGTGCTAGTATTATCTCCGTTTTACATAAGGGGAAACTGAGTCATGGTAGGGTTATATAACATGTTGAATGCCCCACAGCTGGCGTTGGGTGGGGCCTGAATTCTATCAGGAAATCTGAGTTTAGAATATATCGATATCCCCTGTTATAAACTACATCCCACAAATAAGAAGTTGCACATGGCATGCTGTGCCCAGTGCCCACCCATGCACATCTTGAGTAAACATTACCTGCTCTCAACATCATCATTATCATCATCACCACCATTCCTCATTCTCATTTTTTAAAAAAGATTCATTTTACTTATTTATGCATACAAGAACTGGGGTGTAGGTGCCGGGGTGAGAGGATTCACCAGAGACAGAGTGGGGCACAGAACAGGCAGATCTTTTTCTCTGCAGCACTGGTTCGATCCCCGGCTGCTCCCCGGCCACTAGAGGAGGGTCCCACATGGCGCGCAGACCTCTCCTGCCGCCCGCTGCTCCCCTCAGCAGTGTACTTCGGTCCTTCTGCTGTTCTGCTCCCTGCTCTGGCTCTGGTGAATTCTCTCACCCTCCCGCGCTTCTGACTGTACCCAGTGCTTGTATGAATAAATAAATAAATCTTAAAAAAAAAAAAAAGAACAGGCAGATCTACTGAAATACACTGCTGAGGGGAGCATCAGGTGAGACAGGAGAGGTCTGCTGCACCATGTGGGTCAGCTCACTGGCTGGGGTAACTCATGCCGCAGTGGCTGGTGATAGCTTGATAGCAGTGAGATTAAACCCCTGTGCCACCAGAGAGGCCACTCATTCTCATTTTTAAAAAGTAAGACATTTATAGATACCCACAGTTTCATTTTTCCTCCATGTAAGTGGTATACATTTGAATTGGTAACACAAGGGACACTTTATTATACCAAGTTTTGAGTTCACATTCCTTATGCATATAAAAATAGACTTAATATTAACTCAGGGAGATGGAGGTAGCAGTGCATATTATCCTTTAACACATGTATGTTTGGATAAGATTAAATACTAGACAGCAGTGAACTGAATTAGTTCTTTAGAATAATTTGCAATCAGCCAAGGTCCAGATGACCATTGCTTCTAAAATTGCAGCCTCTCTGTTTCTCATCTGCCATCAATAGTGACATGTGTATAATTGTTCAGCCCACCTCTAGGAGTTTGAAGATCTCCCTTCCCATCTTTTTCCCTGTCCTCACTGGTGAGAACAAAGTCAGAGGATAAAATCATGTCTTCACTCATCTCTTGTGCATAAACCACTTTGCTTCTTCTCAGTGCTGTGCTTTCATCATCTTAGGTTAGCCTCACACTGACCATTCAAACTTAGGAGCTGTATCTTTCCAGGAGAGCTTTATTCGTGTTTGTTTCCTGATCTCTAAATAATAAAAGTTACAGTCATCTGATTGCATCAGCTCTAAACCTGTGTGGGGTGAATAATTAAATCATTGTCAAGAGAAAATGTGATTTAAAGATATGGCAAATTTAATGTTATTAAATTCTTTTCTTCTTATTTAATTTCCAGTGAGTTCTTCATGCCTGGGCTGGTTGATACTCACATCCATGCCTCTCAATATTTCTTTGCTGGGAGTAATGTGGATCTGCCGCTTTTGGAGTGGCTGAACAAGTACACGTTTCCCACAGAACACAGATTTCAAAAACTCGACTTTGCAGAAGAAGTATATACAAGAGTTGTTGTAAGTATCCGCTGTGAGTGTTGGGGTCTTATATCCTGTCATCTATAGGAACATCTACTTCTTTGGGCAGAGTTAAACTGTAAAATATAGGCAATTAAGCTTAGGATGGACTACAGAGATTTCTTTTTTTCCCCACATCTTTATAACCCAGTGAATTTGTGACTACCTCACCTAGCATAGTTTGTTGCTAGCGAAGGGAGAATCCATTTCTCTTTATTTTACTTCTTGTGTTTTATTTTACTGAATGTCAGTTCAATGCACATATGTATTCTCCTATTTCTGTCAATCCATATGCTGTTCTGGCGATGATATGGAGTAGCTGAAAACCCTGTGGAAAGTTTCTTAATGCATGTTACCCATCTATAAAAAAAAAAAAAAAAAAACCACAGCATAGTATCAACTTCATAGGATCGTTACGATAATTAAGCAAATAAATATTTGTGAAGTTCTTAGAATAGTGCCTGACAGATGGTAAAATATCTCTGTGTTTTCTTGAAAAACTATCCAGGAAAATTTAAAATAAAAATTTCAAATTGCATTCAGAAGGATATCACATTGTTTTTGGTAACTTTACAAGGAAGGACAATAGGTTGACCCATATTGCAGGGCATGTGGAACTGTGAAGAGCACGATCACCACTAGGGGGAGCTATGGAGCTAGCTCAGTGAACCCTGGCTATGGTTTGTGCCAACTATATATTACCAAGAAATACTCTGAAAATGTCTTTCCACTCTTTCAAGAAAATAAATTCTTTCTGCACTAAACCTATGCCCGATCCACTCAGCAGCCAGAAACAACTTTTTGTAGTTAAGTATTAAAGCTGAAAATACTTTATCTGACTACTTCATTTGTCACTCAACACACTTGCCTTCAGTTGGCCTTGGTGGTAGATTTTCTGCGAAGGTGTTGGCTGTGTGTAGTGGTGACAATGTAACAGGCGTCAAAGTGTGACCTAGCCATTCTGCCATTTACATTGGTCTTGCATCATTTAGCCTTAAAGAGTAAAAGCAAGTGCTAACATTTATTCACTTGCCTCAATTATAAATTCAGTGTAATTGTGGATGTTACATATTTAGCATGCATCCACATGACACCAGAAAAACTGAGGACTAAAGCTGTGTATGAAGTTGCTGGTGCATTGTGTTAATGAATTGTGTTAACTATACCAAAAACCTTTTTATTCTTAAAATTTATTTATATCTCTCATTATTCCAAAAAGAGTCTGATAGCTCTTAAAATTACATAGTATACAGCAGAAGAAAATGAGTCAGGAACTCATGGCAAAGGAACAAAAGGGGGGAGGAAAAAATAAAATAAAACTGAAAGGTGAATGTTTGTATTAGTTCATGTGCTTGTTAGTTTGCTGCAAAATTGGCTTAAAGTTTCTAGCTATCTACCCAGAAGTGGAAATCATTTCTGTAATTTACACTGTGTGTGTGTGATTAAAAAGACCCAAGACACCTTGTTAAGATAAAGCATATCTTTCCCAATACTGATTTTCTTTAAAAAAAAATCCCAACAATACTTAATATATAGATACTATATTATCAGAATATAGATTATCAAGGTGCTATAGTATCAAAAATTCCAGATATCAATATTTTATATTTAGAGAGTTAAATATCAAGAACTATATATCCTTCAAGCAGTACTCCATAAATATTATTTCTTATACCAGAGGGCTTGATTATTGACAAGTATTTGTGTGCATACATCCTTTGCATCTCTGATTATGAACATACCAAATACCTTACCAGCTGGACAAGTCAAGGATATGGTTGAGACCTGTTTAAGAAAGTTGAAAGGAATATAGACTGGTCCAGCCTCGCTGGTTTCACAAAACAGTGAAAATAGATATACCATGTAATCCAGCAATCCTGCTCCTAGGTATCTAGCCAAAGAAAGCAAAAATAGTAATAAGAAAGGATACATTCACTTCTTTGTTCATTGCAGTACTATTTACAATAGCCATGTTTTAGAAACAACCTAAGTACCCAAAGTCAGATGAGTAGATAAGGAAAAGTTGGTATATATACACGGTGGGACACTACTCAGCTATTTAAAAAAAAAAGGGTTGGGGGAAGGTGAAATCCTGACATTTGCAACAACATCGATAGAACTGGAGGGCATTGTACTCTGTGAAATAAGTCAGAGGAGAAAGACAAATAGTGAATGATCTCACTTATTTTAGAATATAAAGAAACAAAACAAAAAAACAGGTAAAACTAAACAAAAACAAACCCTAGAAATATGACTGTAGAATTGAGGCTACCGAAGAGGGAGGATGGAGAGTGGGGACTAAAGTGAGGAGAGAACCAGGGGAATGTGATGGAGGATTCTGGGTGCTTTGGGTGGTGGGTATGGTGAGGTAACAAATACCTGAAGAGGTGTGAATTTATACCCCTAAATCTCTACTCCTGAAGTTCTCTCGATAAAAAAAAAGATAAAATTTTTAAAAATTAGAAAGTTGAGATTTGCTAACTACAACCTGTCCCTGAACTCAAGACATCCCATGGCAATGAAGGAGATGCTCAGGCAGCTACTTATGAGTAGAATCTATAGGATAGCATCTGAGGTTAGCTTCCCAAATCCATTTATGAAATTTTCACTTTTGGAGAGCTCTTATTCTCTGATTTTTGTAACATTTTGTTCTTGCTTTGTGGGTGCAATATCTTATTTCTCTGAGAATGTTAATTATAGAATTATTTTTTGTTTTATTTTTAATTAATTAATATTTGTTACTTCTTTGTAGTCCCCATAGTTCTCCCACTACCATATCACCCATAAACTATCACAATATTCCCTTGTGTTCATCCCACCCCTGTTTTACCCCTCTCTCCCCGCCTTTGTATACCTCAATTCTATGGTCAGCTTGCTAGTTTTGACTTTTTCTTGACCTTTTGTTTGGTTTCTCTATATTCTACATATAAGTGAGAACACCCAGTATTTATCTTTTTTCTTCTGACTAATTTTGGCTAGCATAATCCCTTTTTTTTTTTTTTAAAGATTTATTTATTTATACAAGCACTGGGTACAGTCAGAAGCGTGGGAGGGTGAGAGAATCCACCAAAGAGGGGAGAGCAGAGAAGGCAGACTGACGAAGTACACTGCTGAGGGGAGCAGCGGGCAGAAGGAGAGATCTGCGCTCCATGTGGGACACTTGCCAGGCGGCTGGGGATCGAACCGGCGCTGCAGAGGCTGCGGGCAGCTTCGCAACCCAGCGCTCAACTGCTGCGCCACCGGAGAGGCCCTAGCATAATCCCTTCTAATCCCACCCATGTTGCCACAAATGGCATGAGTTTGTCTTTTTTGATCACTGAATAATATTCCATTGTATAAATAAACCACAGCTTTTTGATGCATTCATCTATTTTGGGACATTTGGGTTATTTCCATATCTTGGCTATTGTAAATAGTGCAGCAATAATCATAGAAGTGTGAGTTTCCTTTCAAATTAGTGTTTTTGTGTCCTTCAGGTAGATTCCTAGGAGTGAAATCACTGAATAATCATAGTGTTATTTTTTTTATCAATCATGCTTAATTTTACTCTGAATACAGTATTAAACTAGAAATGCTGGATTTAACACTGAATTTAATACCAAGGTAGGAATTTTAAAGTAGATTAGTCGTAGCGTTATTTTTTAAATCAAGCTTCCTTCAGACTCTATAGATTGCTTGTTTCCTTCAAGGTTTTTTCAGATTCTTTCTCTTGCCCTCTACTTGATAGAAGCTCTGCTCCAGAGTCTGTCAAACCTTGCACACGTACATTCATATTGATGAGCGTTGCCCTCAGATATTGACTGGAAGCTCTGGGCTGGGGTTGGACTTATTAGCTAATGAACAGTATTAAAGATGAACAGTGAGGCAGGGGACAGCCTTTTAAGTGGATCCTAAGCGTCACTGTGAGCACATCATTCTTCTAGAGCCATTCATCTTCTAGAAGCAAATGCTTCAGTCCTGCCAGCAGTGGTGGATGTAGTACATGTGCCATTCTGGGCAAGATGGCTAAGGATGCCAAGGGGCAGTCAGATTTTCTTTTTTCTTTTCAGTCTATGCCTCACTTGTCCTTTTGGTTTATACCCTCAAAATGTTATTTGATTTCTACAAAGGTTGACTCTCTTCTTCAAAGGGCAAGTTAAGGGTGGTTGGTTTATTCCAACAGGGAGGAAAAGGATACAACCACAGTTTAACTATCTATACGCAGACTTTCAGCCAATTCCTTGTTAACAACCACTTGGTTCTCTTTTTTCAAGTTGATTCCAGGTTCTCATCCAAGAAGATGTTGAAATGTTTCCTCTGCTCTTGTCTCCTCTCATGTTCTTCTCATGGGTTAATAGATTTTGTGTTCCTTTACTGTTATTTTAGTAGAAATTTTCTAAGGAAGGTGGATATATGAGACCAGTCTGCCAGGTTGAACTTTAAGTCTGGCTGACTAATTTTACCTTGTAAGAGGTAGAAAGATCTCATTTATTTTTTCCAGATGCAATAAAGTTTGGACATCCTTAAATAATTCTAAAAATAAGGATGAATTAGCATCACATTTTATGAGTTCTGTAACACAGAACTGTGTGAATCTAGGAAATCAAAACTATCCACTTCTCCTCCAGAAATGTTTTTGAGGATATAAATAGTTTTGCCATTTACCTTAACTGTATTTCATATCAAGATGGCATAACTTTAAATAAAAACATTTTAAAATTAAAAATGAGTTTTCTATTTTCATCTTTATTTGCCATGTGACTTTTCTGGGCACACATGATTCATGGTTTTTGTGATTTATTTTTAGAGGAGAACGCTAAAGAATGGAACAACCACAGCTTGCTACTTTGGAACAATTCACACTGACTCATCTCTGCTCCTTGCGGAAATTACAGGTGAGGAGATGAAAGCCTGATTTCTGGGCACATCAAGCAAAGAACACCAGACTGTGCCTGGCCATGACTTACACTTATGAGCAGTCCTACCTTTCATTTGCTAGAATTTGAGTGTTGCATTTCCCGCAAGTAACTAGGTGTCTGTGTATCTCAGTGGCCCTTGAATGCTTTCTGTTAAAGTGATTTGAGTCCTTACTTAAGGTTTTTGGTTTCAGAATGATGTGTGTGGGTTTGAATTTTGTAAATTAATGTAGGACTTTTGGGAGCAGCTAATTTTAGTTGTGGGAACAATTTATTATAATCAACAGACATCTTTGGTATTGACTAGACCCAGGGCACTGTGCTAGATGCTGAGAACACAATGAAACAGAACATAGTCCCTGCCCTTGAGGAGGTAGACAGAATCAACTGATTTACTAACTACATGCATTGATTAATAACTTTAGGGGCAAAAAAAATAACTTTTTAAAAAAGATTTATGTATTTATGCATGCAAGAGCTGAGGTATAGGCCAGAGGTGTGGGGGGTGAAAGGATTAACCAGAGACAGAGTGGAGAGCAGAACAGGCAGATCTACTGAAATACGCTGCTGAGGGGAGCAGCGGGCGAGACAGGAGAGGTCTGCTGCATCATGTGGGTTAGTTCCCTGGCCAGGGATTGAGCTCATGCTGCAGTGGCTGGTGCTAGCTTGATAGCACTGAGACTTTACCCCTATGCCACCAGGGAGGCCCCAAGAGGGCAGTTCTTACTAGATGCCTGGCATTGTGCAAAGAGCTATACCCGGATTATCACTTGTCTGCAAACTGCCTTCAGAAGTGATTAATCATATCCTCATATTATATAGGGGTAAACTGATACTCATAGAGTCTACATAATATGGCCAAATCACACAACTAATTAACAGAGCTGGGATTATATTTAAATTGATGAGTCCAAAACTTGCACCCAGCACAGTGCCTGCAACATAGCTGGTACTCAGTAAATATATCAGCTGATGTTGGTTTGCTGGCCAAGATAAGTTATGCCAAATGTCTAAAGGATGACACTGAAAATAAATATTTCTGCTTTGAGAGGAGACAGACAGAAGCCAGAAATGGACCTATGTGAACAATTCATGGAAGGGGCCTTGTAACTGGGTTTTGAAGGGAAGATAAAATGTTGAGAAAGAAAAATGTCATTGAAATAGGAAAAATGACATGTCCACAACTATGAGGACAAACATATCCACAGTAGATACAAGAAGCAGAGAACATTGTAGCTGAGCTAAAAGACAGAATTCATTGCATGGTGAGGGAGGAGGCCAGACTGATGGGATCGATCAGCCTGGAGAGATCTGATGTGCATTAAAGACTGAAAGAAGGTTTTGGACTAGGTGAGTTTTGTGCCATGATGCTTTAAGGAAAAATAATTTGATGCCCAGGTGAAATACATTACAGGAGGAGGGCGGGACTTCTGAAAGACTCTTAGGGCAGAGGTGGAGATGTAAAAAAATTGCATTTCCCATGTCTTCACTTTTCTGGGCTAATTTCCTCTAGCACTGCTAGTAAAGATGAGGTTCTTTAGTGCTGAGAACTGCTATTAGGACTTAGTAAAATTCTCAATGTATAATACTACTGCAGTTAAGAATAACAGCAGGGCCTCTCTGGAGGCCTAGAGATTAAGTCTCGGTGCTATCACTACTGTGGCCTGAGTTCAATCCCCAGGCAGGGAGCTAACCCACATAGGGCGCAGCAGACCTCTCCTGTCTAGCCTGCTGCTCCCCTTAACATTGTCTTTCAGTAAATCCACCTGTTCTGCTCCCCACTCTATCTCTGGTGAGTCCTCTCACACCCTGCACCTCTAGCCTATGCCCCAGTTCTTCTACCCGAAAAAATAAATTAAAAAGTATATTTTATTTTTTCTTTTTTTTTTTTTATAGAGGCATGTTTTATTTATTTATTTATTTGTTTGTTTTTGTTTATACATGCACTGGGTACAGTCAGAAGCACGGGAGGGTGAGAGAATTCACCAGAGCCAGAGCGGGGAGCAGAACAGGCAGAAGGACCGAAGTACACTGCTGAGGGGAGCAGCGGGCTGCAGGAGAGGTCTGCGCGCCATGTGGGACCCTCCTCCTGTGGCCGGGGAGCAGCCGGGGATCGAACGGGCGCGGCAGAGGCCGCGGGCAGCTTCGCAACCCAGCGCTCAACCGCTGCGCCACCGGGGAGGCCCTAAAAAGTATATTTTAAAAAAGAATACCAGCAGTGTATTCTCTAAATCATATGAGCCAAGCACTTTTTATCATTATTGAATACATTCCTTGCAACTCTGCTCATAGCATTGGACACGGGGCACATATGAGTTTAAAGTATGAACAGGTAATACCCATTGTCCTGGGAGTAATCAGAGGAATAGGGAATCAATGGAAAAAATTTTACATTTACAGAATTTAGAGGGGTCCTGTTGTTGCTTTTGTTCTTAAAAGGTGTGATGAGCTTTTACATTCTTGTGTTTTCATTATGGCTTTATTTAAAAATGTAAGAGGTTGCACCACAACTTGAATAGTTAGATATCAACATCATCTTCCATTTAACATTTAGCATAGCCAAGGCATAGAAAGACTGAGCAACTCCAAGGCCACAAAAAAAAAAAAAAAAAAAATGTAAGAGGTTAAGACGCAACCTATGAAGCTATCCAGAGCCACTGTAGCAAGAGTTCGATCCTTGGCCAGGGAGCTACCCACGTGGTGCAGCAGACCTCTCCTTTCTTGCCCGCTGCTCCCCTCAGCAGTGTATTTCAGTCGATCTGCCTGTTCTGTTCCCTGCTCTGTCTCTGGTGAATCCTCTTACCCTCCCGCACATCTGGCCTATACCCCAGTTCTTGTATGCATTGATAAATAAATATTTTTTTAAAAGGCTTGAGAAAGTATAGTTTGGGTAAGAAACATGACTTCAGATGCTTTTTGTTTGTGCCTCACAGATAAGTTTGGGCAACGGGCATTTGTGGGCAAAGTCTGCATGGATTTGAATGACACTGTTCCGGAATACAAGGAAACCACTGAGGAATCAATCAAGGAGACTGAGAGGTATGTTCATTTATATTTGTCTTTTGAACATTCCTGCCACACTGAAGGGGGTGGGGGTTCGAGATGGAGACAGGAAATCTTTCTGAACAAGGTAGGATGTCACTGTGTAGTTTTGCCCAACTTTGTATGATTGGTGTGGTTCTAAAATAAACAATGTACATCAATACAATTTGTATATACCAAATTACCTTTAAAATCCTCTGGCAAGTTGTTATAGGAGCCAGAGGGTACAATCTCTTGTAAAAGGAAGGATTCTTTTTTTAAAGGCAATGATTTACTCTCTACCTATTCTTTAGTAAAGATCTTGGCTTCTCCTGTAGATTGATTTGCCTTAAGTGTGTGGCCTGCCCATTAAATTATTTTTGATTATAGGTCATACGATTTCCTGAGATCATGAGCTTTTGTTATATTCTTTGTATGTAATGTTGAGATGTTCTAGTGAACAAGTATATCATTTTTCTACATTTCTTTAATGGTTTATCATGGTACCATGAGATCTGATGAGGAATTCATTCACATCTAAGAGCTATAGAAGAAAATTCTTTAGGTTTAAATATTCTCCAAGACCTAACCTATTCTGATGCAATTTTTGGAAGTCCAGCTTCTCTCCATTCTCCAGGCCTCCTTCCACCTGTGTGTTCTCTAAAAAAGGGGGGGCAGAGTTGAGGAAGCACACATGTTCCCCCTAACATGGATCACATGCTCAACTTTTTCATCAGTCTGTGTTTGTGCTCGTAGTCAAACTTACTTCTCATTTTGTTTTGAAACAAAGGAACACTATGGCTAGGCAGGAGACTATAGAAAGCAGGAAGCGATAGCTAGTTAATATTGGGTTGTTAGAAAAGTCATGACACATTTTTGCATAGAAAACATAGAAAAAGGGCCTCCCTGTTGGCGCAAGGGGTTGAGACGCAACCTGTGAAGCTATCTGCAGCCACTACGGCACAAGTTCGATCCCCAGTCAGGGAGATACCCACATGGCATAGCAGACCTCTCCTGACTCACCCGCTGCTCCCCTTAGCAGTGTATTTCAGTCAATCTGCCTGTTCTATTTTCCACTCTGTCTCTGGTGAATCCTTTCACCCTGCACACCTCTGGCCTGTACTTGTATACATAAATTGTATACATAAATAAATGTATACATAAATAAATAAATCTTGTATACATAAATAAATAAATCTTTAAAAAAAAACAAAACATAGAAAAAATACATCATGACTTTTCCAACAACCCAATAGTTTCAACTGAGGCAGAAATATCCATGTCAGAGACTCTCCAGAGACCACCATCCCTATAGATGTAATTGTGCAGATCACTGCCGTCATCACCATGCATTTCGCAACCACTTCTGGTCTGTTTCTTTTGCCTTACTCCAATATTCATGCCCTGTAGGATTCTGCCATTAGATATAATCATATTGTGTGAATGAGTAGCTTCCACTTTGGGAAATTAGGAGTAGAGGGCCCCATGGCTTCTCAACGCCTCTAGATGAGTGCACGCTCATGGCTGTAATAGCCACAGAGCATGATTTATGGCATTATTTCCTCAAACAGAGCTTAAGCCAGTGCAGTGGCTTGAGTACTGTGGGAATACACGTGAACAGCGCAGCTGATGTTGCATGACAAAATTGCCTTTCCCTGTGATTTTGCACTCCATCTCTCTGGCTGCAAATGAGAAAGCAGAGTAATTACTACTTGTTAATCTTTAATTAGCAGTGGTGAAACATGTGCTGTGTTTGAGATGTTTGCAGGGAAATTAGAACATATAAGGATCATGTTTTCACCCTTTTAAAAAATTGTTTGAAAATGTCTAAATTTTCTAACTTCCCATGTGTTGCTTTATTTCAGATTTGTGTCAGAAATGCTTCAAAAGAATGTAAGTGAATGTGCGCAGCTTGGTTTTGGATTGCGTTCATTGTAGGATTGGCTACCAAATTGTTTGTAGAGATTAGTCTGTGTACATTTGACTTTTTCTAGTATGAAATATTTTCCTTGTACCTTAAATTATTTTCACAGTGGACCCATCAACTCAGTTCATTGAGGTCAGGCATTTTTTGCTTTCTCAGTGGTTTTCCCTCTCACTGCTTTGGAAGCTTTAATTTCACAGAACTAGTCTCTGGGAAGAGGGCTTTGTGGCTGTAGACAAATTGGTAGCAGCTGGAGATTGTGGCCTGGTTTGGTGTGGCCTCTGGCCCTTAGTCTGGTCTGAAACACAGGTGGTGCCCAGCCTTGATGCCCCAGCACCTGTGGCCTTGGTCCACAAATGTGTGGCACATCACATGGCCTGCAAGCACCCAGCTCAGCATCCCCTTTGCACTGCCTCAGCTCCAGGGAGCCTTTGGAAGCAGTGTTGTTTCCTGTCTCCACCCTCAGCAGGCTGGTTCATGGCTCCACTGTGCAAGCTCATAGATTGGCAAGCAAGATCTTTGCCTTGTCATCTTTTGAGTTCAGATTGGAAACCATAGGAAAGCCAGAATTTCTATCAATCCCATCTTGGGAAAACTATGTGGGACTTAATGGAGCTTGTGTATACCTTTATGAGTCTTCTTCCTCCTTGGTCCCTTACCTCAGGTGATATCAACACCAATCCCACATCTAAGCAGCCCTCAGGGAGCCCATGACCAGCATACCTCCCAGGGTGGATAAAGGCGAATAGGCTACCACCTCACTTTTAGTCTCCCCAACTCTTTCCTTGAAAGCTACTCTTTATGACTCCCAATTTTTTTCATAAACCCATCCAGTATAGGACTAGTCTGAGCTTTCATATGGATGTAGGAGAGGCGATGTCTATCATTTGGGACAAATCGTCTGTTGAACTTACTGTTATGCAATAGACTCTTCTTTGTTTTCAGCCATGAGCCATTTCCATAAAACCCAACACTTCATCCCACTCTGAGAATGAAGCTTTGTCCCCCTAAATGAAGGCATATCATCTTGTCATATGATAGGCATTTGGGGGTATGCTACGCAATCATGATACCCATTGTCTCCTTGTCCATTTTTTTTTAATGATTTCCAGTATTCTAGAGTGAAGCCCATCGTGACACCACGATTTAGCCTTTCCTGTTCTGAGACTTTGATGGGTGAACTTGGAAACATTGCAAAGACCCACGATTTGCATGTTCAGGTGGGTATTGTTCTCTTGTACCTCGTCCAGATCTCCAGGACTAAAATCCAGCAAGCTCTAGTCCTTCTAATAAGATCTCATCCAGGAATAGCATCAGAGGATAGGACAGACATCACCTAAATCTAATTCTTTTCTTTTTCAGGTAAGACACTGAGTTTCCTTTGAAGGTTTTCCACCCATCTTCCTTGATCAGGTTTGGTAAGATGAAGACATCATAAGTAATAAAGCAAGATCAGTGACAGACTGGTTACCTATTTTCTGTGGGATACATTTAATGTGTTTCATTCCTACTTGTCTTTGATTCGATATTTTTTCGGTGTTCTAGTCCTTCGTTTTTGGAGAAACCACCTATTATTTGAAAAGCAAGGAAAAGCAAAATGAACCTAATTTCCACCTTACAAAAATGCATTTAAAAGCCCTTTTGTTCCGAGTTTCTTAAATTAAAATCAGGAACAAAAAAGTATATTTTACTTTGTCATTAAGTTGTTGCCATTTAGGAATAAAACACTTTTTAAAGCTTCCAGCTGGGTTAAAATTGGGAGTTGGAGTGCCACTTCCCCCATTCAAGCTTCATTACACACTGCACTAAAATTTTCCCTATTGAGAGTTGACTGTCTTATAAAAGAGAACAATTTAGGAGAAAGGCAAAACATTGATTCTTTATCGTTTTGTACAGTGGGGGGTATTTGTGGTTTTTTAAGATTTTTATTCTTAGGGCTTATTAAATATTCCTATCACTGCCAATTTTATTATTGTTGGTGGTGGTGGTCTGTGATGTTTGAATTTTTGACTCACTCTCACACAAATGTAGGGGAAGGACCTGTGAGTCCCTGATTGAGTCTGAAAATAAAACTGACTAAGACTAATAAGAGAAAAGCATATAAATTTAGTATAAGTTTTACATGAAGACCTAAAGAAAAAAATTGAGCACTTCTATGCAGGTTTAATAGCAAATGCTCACTTGTGGAGGAATATGATAGATTAAGGAGTATGAGGTAAATGGAGAAAGCTGGTAGAAATTTAGTAATCCACCAACAAGACACAAAGATTTCCTTTTCTCCATATCCTGGCCAACACATATCTTAGAGTACAGTTTTTTTTTAATTCATTCTTATTTAGTTTGGAATTTGAAAAGACTTGGTTGAAGAGCAAACATGTTCATGATGTGCATAGATTTTTGGTAATGCATATGTTACAGTGTATATGATATAGGTTGCAAATAAAGCATGCATATATTCTTTGTTGTCTTTCTATATGGTTCCTTAGGTAGGAAAGTGGATACCATCCACACCATTTTGTGATAGGAAGCATAATTTGTAATAGTATTTTACATTAAAATTTTGAAATATTTTTTTTCTTGTAGAGCCATATAAGTGAAAATCGTGATGAGGTTGAAGCCGTGAAAAATTTATTCCCTAGTTATAAAAACTACACAGATGTGTATGATAAAAATAATCTTCTGACAAATAAGGTAAATTGTATATCATGACATAATTTATATAAAGTAGGGTATACTGGGCCTCCCTGGTGGTGCAAGGGATTAAATCTCACCACTATCAAGTTATTGCCAGCCACTGCAGCATGAGTTCAATCCCCAGCCAAGGAACTAACCCACATGGCATAGCAGACCTCTCCTGTCTTGCCTACTGCTCCCCTCAGCAGTGTATTTCAGTCAATCCTCCTGTTCTGCTCTCCATTCTGTCTCTGGTGAATCCTCTCACCAGAGGCCTGTACCCCCATTCTTCTATGCATCAATAAATAAAATAAATTTTTAAATAAAAATTAAAGTAGGGTATACTTTATAAACAGACTTCTGTGGCATGTGGGTATTTCCAAACTAGAGTAAAGCTCAGAGTATGGGTGTGCATGTGGGGTGTGTGCGTGTGTGTGTTTGTGTGTGTGTGTGTGTAGAGTTAAAAATGAGACTGAAGTTTCATCCCAGCCCATAAATTTGAAGACTTCTTTGCTTCATTGAGGGTGGGAATGTCATTTGGTCCAAGGACATTTTGTCAGTAGCCATTAAAATAATGGATTATATGCCTTCCTTTGAGTTAGCAGATGCATTTCTAAAGATCTATTCTGAAAGGAATATGAATGGGAATGTTAATTGCATATGAAAGTTAAAAAATGTCTGTCAGCAGGGAATTGTTTAAATTATAGAACTCATATCATTAGAATTTTATTCAACAGTCACACAAAATGAAGTTTACAGGCTTACAAGTAAGAATGTTTGCAAAACGTTGTTTGATGTATGTGTGTCTGTTTATGGGTATGCTCACTTAGCAAAAATTGGGAGATATACAATGAATATTAAAAGATATACATTGAATATTAAAAGTAACTTCCTGAGGGGGCATGCACAACTTTTTACTTTTAAACACTTGAGATTGCTTTGGGGAAAAAATGTGCATTACTTTTATAATTGAACAATTTTAAGTTAATGAAAGTTACTATGAGGAGGGGCCTCATTACAACCATATGCCCATTGGCCTTGACCTTCCATGAAATATACCAACTGTATGGAGAGTTTAACTACTGCAGCAGATAACTTTGTAGGGACTAGATGAATGGAGATCTGGATATAACTAATTTGAAATGCATATGCAGCATACATCTTGTAAATGCTACACTGAAATTTGTCTTCACATATATCTCCATATGATTTACAAATTAATCTTCAATTCACATGTTAATTTTATTTGCACAGGGGAGAGTATAATTTCATCTTAATGATAATATTGTGGTCACTAAATTTGCCTCCCAAAGGAAAAGGCTATTTACATACTGGTTTTGTACAGATAGACAAAGAAGTTTAAAAGAGTAAAGTCATATAGGGAAAATCCATAAATATTTCCAAGACTAAAATTAAGAGAAGTCTTACATCTCCTCAGTCTTCTTAGATCAATTTTACCTTCTATATTAGTGCTTATATAAGTTTTCATAATTTCTAATTTTTATGACGTTGTATAGGTGAGTTAAAGTTTATTTGGTTACTGGCATCAAGACCACCAGTGCCATTGTTTAACAGGAGCAGAAATACGGAATAGCTTGTTTCAGGTTGCTCCAACAGCTTCCGTGGACTAAGAAAGGAAAGCTTACTTCTAGAAAGTTCTCATTAGAATAGGAACAATTGCACCTGTTGCTCACCATGTAGAGAAGAAAGTAACTTGACAAAATTTTCTAAACTGGAGATGATAAAATCATATCTTTGAACGGATCAATTTCCTATGCTGTAGATCACCTGGACCAATCATTATTTCATAGCTCAAAAAGTTAAAAAGATAAGATTCACAAATTTGAAGAAACTTATAATCAATGTTTTTACAGGTCTCTTGTGAGGCATAACTTGTACACAGTGATTTTATACATAGAGATCATCATAAATGTACTTGTGAAGATGATTAACGCCATGTCACAGCTTCTATCTGTACTTCTGTCTGTACCTGTAATATCTGCTGGGACTGCAGACTAACTTAAGCAGTTAGAAGTGGTAAACTCCACATAAAACACTCTTCTCTCTAGACAGTGATGGCACATGGCTGCTACCTCTCAGCAGAAGAACTGAACACTTTCAGAGAACGAGGAGCATCCATCTCGCATTGTCCCAACTCTAACTTATCGTAAGTAGGCAGTAACTGGTAGATGATGGATGTGTGGGTTGCAAATCAGCAGCCAAATATTGTTTTCTTGGTCATTCCTCCATTATCTTTTTCCTGTGCTTATGTCTGGTTGGTTCAGGAAATACATAGATAGATGCTGACCATGTTGAGGTGAGGGGAAAGTGGGCCCTTTTTTGCAGAATATCTTAAAAATTTCTGAGTTGCACAAAACAGGACATAGGAATACAACAGAAAGAGTTCAAGGCCAATAGCATTCAAAATATACAACAAAGGACTGAAAGAGCACTATGCCAGCCACTATGCTCACTATGTAGAGAGCTCACTATTTGAGAGAGGGCACTCACCGCCCATTACTTTGTGCTGTGCAAAGTAAAGGAGATGCACGACCGCTAAGAAGGAGGTTGTGCTGCTAGAACTAAGGACCCTACACAATAGGATGCCAGATCACAGCAGACCTTGTCCTAGTTTAAATCCCCAATATACAAAAATCTTATTTGTTACTGGTTCTTAACCTTTTGAAAAGTCATAGTTGCATCAGGGAAATCAGAGGAAAACTATGGCTGGTATCTTCAGAAAAAAGCTAACCTATGAAAAATTGGCATCTTATTTCAAGTAATACATTGACCCCATGGTTCTCATTCATGGGTGGTGCTGGGTTAAGGATCCATGCTTCAGAATTAAGAAAGCTCCTCTCATTTCTGGTGCTAATTAACCAGAACAGAAGGTCTCACCCTTAGAGGCAGGTTGGGGTAAATCATTCATAGAGTCATTCAACATATTTATGTAGTTTCTGCTAGATTTTTTTTTTTGATGGTTACTCTATACTGTCTTATTTGGGGTTTTTGAAGAAGCAGATGGAGAGAGAGGGTTTGAGGATTTGCGTCCAACTAGTTTATTTAGGAGGTGATCTTAGGAAGCATCACTAAGGGTCATTTTACCCAACAGCCATCAGTCATTGGTGGAGGGCTGGTGTGTAAAAGTGAGGGGCTTTAACTCCCTTGAATGTCTGACCTTTCCCAAATAAGGGCACAGTAGCCTCTAGTAGCCAAAGAGAGTCCCTGGCAAAGAGTTGGAAGTGCTGGCAGTTAGAAATCTAGGGACTTTTGGGCCTCTCCGGTGGCACAGCGGTTGAACACTGGGCTGCAAAGCTGCCTGCAGCCTCTGCAGTCCTGGTTCGATCCCTGGCTGCCTGGCGAGGGTCCCACATGATGCATAGACCTCTCCTGCTGCCCGCTGCTCCCCTCAGCAGTGTACTTCGTCAGTCTGCCTGCTCTGCTCTCCGCTCTGGCTCTGGTGAATTCTCTCACCCTCCCGCGCTTCTGACTGTACCCAGTGCTTGTATAAATAAATAAAAAAATCTTTAAAAAAAAAAGAAATCTAGGGACTTTTTATGTCAGTGGCAGTCTGGGAAAGCCATGAGAATCACACTGGAGTGTTTTGAGAGGTTCCAGAAGCTTCTAGTTTTCAGACATAAAGTAATCACAGATGGCAGGCAATCTTGCTATGTACAGAATAGCCATAATTACAGTCTAGTGACCAGATAGGGGAAGGATTTAATATCCCTTACGTTAGTTATACTACATCTAAATTAAAATATGATCCAGCTTTGCAAATGAGATTTGAAATTAGATTTCTTTTTGGGTACATTTCTGTTTAAATGATCAGTTCTATTCATTCTCCAAAAGCTTTGAGATATGAATCACTTGTGCTCAGGGACTTTGTAAATTATTGCTGTGTACATTTTTTAACACAACACCTTGGACTTTTGCATCTTCTCAGACTTTTAAGAATTGCTTTAGTTTTCCTTTGTTTCTTCAGAAAGACTGCACATCTAGTAACTTCAAGGTCACAAGGTAGATAATTCAGCCCAGGAACCATCTCTCTAGTTGCTGCTGTCCTCAGAGGCAGCATTTGTACTGTCAGGTCCTGACTCACCCGCATGCACCTCCTTTCCCACAAGTACTCCCTTTAGTTGATCTTACAATTCACTGTTCCTTTGAGGTAACAATCCAGATAGAGAAGAAAGGCATTGCCTTATAATACCTACCTCCTAACATAGAAGGATGGGTAAAGTAGTTATTAAAGCCTGGTAAGATGTTGGAACTAAGTGCAAGACTGAATTTCTCCATTTATTTTTCATTGCCAAAGATCCCCTCATTTCCCTTCTGGCTCTTGCTACTTTGCACCTGAGATTACCTTTGACCCAAGGATTCAAGCTCCTTATTATCATTTTATTCCAAGACTCTGAGGGTCTGACTTGACTAATATGTTTGTGTCAGCATTGGAGCTGGGAAACACAAATTTCAGTGATATCACCATCATGATTGTTAGTGGAATTTTCTTTTGTTGGAGCCATAGGGATCTCCTAATTCTGACTGTCTCCTCTCTCTCCAGACTGAGCAGCGGCTTTCTCAATGTGCAAGAAGTCCTGAAACACCAAGTGAAGATCGGACTGGGTACAGGTTAGTAGGTCGTCATTTAGAACTATGTACAGTGGTCCATTAAATGCATAACTTTCTATTGGAATAACATCCAGGTAACAATACTGTGTTTTAAAAAAAAATCAGTTCTGTTATCTGGGTAGTAATATCCTGAGCTACTAAAATATTGAGTTTGGAAGCAGTAAGAAAAATGAATACAAAGGAAGAAGTTTTAATCACCCTAACCTCCTGGAAGCCATTGACCATGTTTTCAGATCAGAGATTGGACTATAAAAGATAAATCCTTCTAAGTTCTTTTTTAATTTTTTTCTCCCCTTTTTGATTTGTTTTCTAGTTACATTCCAATGATTTGGATTTGTGTATTTTTAAAAAGTTGTCAATAACTGTCATCACAAAAACTGTCTTAAAAGAAAATTATTTGTCCTAGCCTCCGTCTATGCCAGTATTGAGAACATGAGCTATGTTAAGAACTAGTTTTGCTTTTAAGTGGTATTTAACAAAATGAGATCCCAATCCCCACAGACAGTCTGATGTTTGCTAGAGTGGAGGCCATTCTGGGTGGCTGATGAATCAGTGGTCTCATCTCCTTTTGTTCACAGCACATTTTCTTGTTTTTCAAGAGTGCGTGCAGTGCTGCTCACTTTGAAAGGGAGAGTCAAGCCCAAATGTCTCGGCAACACTGTGAATCTTCTTTTATATTATACTGTCTGTGAATGAACCAAAATTTTGTAAGCAAAAGTGCATGTGGGCCATAAATATTTATTTTCCATTCTTGATACATTTGTCTTCCTGATATTTAAGAGCATCAGAATACTTACATGTGGACAATGATGGTTTTATTTATTTTCTGTAATAACTCAAGTATTCATTATTTTGATACTAAGCAATTAATTGGTAAAACATAAAAAAATGCGAAGAAATAAATATTTTTGAAGAGGTAGGCTAGGCTAGTTTTCCCCAATTTTCATGAATCGAAGGAATTAAAGTTTTTTTTAAAAAAAACTAGTATCAGCCTTGAATCATTGAGATTGTGGTAATACCTGATCTAGTCACAGGTGTTAAGGCAAGAAACCAGTTATTTTGCCATCACAGAAAAGCTTTAATCGATAAGAAAAAAACAGTTTTTGTTACACACTACGGCCAATTAATGAAAACTTTAGCAGACATGCAAAAATCAGGTAGCTATTGCTTCCAAATTTTCTGTGGTTTTAGTCTCCATGATTTAAAGTCATCACATGATTTCTGGTTCTTGAGCTTGGGTTTATTTACTAATGGCCTAAAATATTCTGGTAAAGTTCTGACACTTACTAGCTGTAAGACTTTAAGCAAATCATTTTAATTTTGAAAGACCTTGTTTCCTAATTTCAAGGACCTTGTTTCCTTGTTTCCAATGGCATGCCTAGGTGGTTAGCACGTGCCTTGTACATCCCCACTTTGGGGAACTGTTAGTCAATAAAGATGAGCTTGAAAAGGAAAAAGCAATTTTGTTGTATGAACCAAATGTATGATTAAATATGATGCATTTTATGACTAACTGAGAGACCATTGTTGCATTTTACATAATCTCTGTTGCAATAGCTAAGCTATCCTCCGCTATTTCCAAAACACTGTCTTTATGTATCAGCTTGCCCTTTACCTGTGGACATAAGAGGATTATTTAACCTTACACCAAGGACAGGGAGCAGGTCCAAGAGTGGTTCATTTACCCTGTCACCAACAAGTGTAGGCAGGTCTGGACTTGCTCCAGTACTAGTTAGGGGAAACCCACATGAAGCTTAGCAAAAAATATTGCAAAATAAGAGAAAATGTTATCAAGAAAGAAAAAGTGAGCCTATCTATGAAAACAATCTACTTCAGAAGAAAATTGCCGACATCTTTTCCCGGGACTATAAGAAGACATGGTGCTATGAAAATGCCCCAAGTCGTGAAGGAAAAGGACATTTTTAAAATGAAAAAGAAAACTTAAAAAAAATTAGAATAAGCATATAGACTTTTCACACACTATAAGAGGGAAGGCAAATAGTACAACTCTTTTGGAGAACTGTTTGACAGTTTCTTATGAAATTAAATATGCATCTACATGCAACTCAGTAATTCCCCTTGGGACTATCTACCCATTTGGGTAGAGAAATGAACACATGTAGTTGCAGAAAGAGTAGTATAAGAATGTTTATACCAGCTTTATACATAGTAGACAAAACTGGAAATAATCCAAACGTCTGCCAACAGGAATATAGATTGCAATTTGTGGCATAGTTATATAATGGAATAATATTCAGCATCAAAAAATAAAAATAAAAAAGAACAATATGCAAAACATGAATTTATCTGAAAAACAGTGTTAAGTGAAAAAGACAGCACAAAAAAACCATAATATATGAATAAAATCAGAAAGTGGTCATGAAGAATTGAGAGTGGGCTAGGGATAGGAATTGACTAGAAAGGGCCACAAGGGAACTTGGTATGGTGGTGGAAATGTTTACTCTCTTGTTTTACTTTATTTTATTTTTTTTGAAAATGACAATATACAATTATTAACATTCATCAAAGTAGACACCTAAGTTCTGTGCATTTTATACTATTTTAATTATACTGCAAGAAAAACAACAAAGAGTATAAGAATCTGTGAGAAATACAGCTTTTGTGCAGAAAGTTAAATCACTGCTATGGAGAACAAAGTTGACAAAAGGTCAAAGGATATGTTTGAGAATGATCTACATGGAGAGCAGAAAGCACAGCGGAAAACATGGGATCTTCCACAGGGAAGAGCCAGAATAACTGGCACAGAAGTAATAATCAGAGCTTTGAAGGGTAAACCTTTTCTGAATTTGAGAAAGAACTGTATATATTAATGAAAGAATATACCCTGTTTTAACTAAATCATAACTGAACATATTGTGACAAAATATTTGAATTATGAAGAAAAAGAGAAAAAGTTCTAAAATATTGAGGCAAGGGGTTGGGGAAGTCAGTTATCATTAAGACAAAAACCAGGCGATTTGCTGCCCCACAAAATACCAAGAGCAGGAAAAGATTTGGAGATATAGTGGTTTTACTCAAGAATGTTGTATTAGACCAAAATCTTCTTCGTGTGTGAAGACAACAAAATTGTCAGACATACAAAGACCTAGCAAATAGTCTCCCCATGAGCCCATGAGCCCTTTGAATAAATTACTTGGAAATGTACACCAATCAGTGACTAATGAAGCAACATAAAGTATATCACATAGGGAAGTAATGGTATAATAGGATGACAAAGAAAGATAAAATCAGTTATAAAATAGTAATAAGATCAAAGAATTTTGAAGGAGTTGAAAAATAAAAGCAGAACTCAAAGTGTATCTCTGAAGAGAATATGTACTATGTAAAAAGTAATATCTTTTTTTTAAAAGGTCATAGAGCTTAAACTGCCACCAAAACATAAACTCTTAATAAGCAACAACAACCAGCATATAAATATTAAAAAAATCAAAATGGCAGCATAAATAAGGAAGATGTTTCCCTATAGTTGGGAAGAAGTTCCTGGGACCTGAATATATGATACTTTTGAAAATGTTAGAGCCTTGAGTTTTAGTGTTATATATTCCTTATGTAATTTTAACATCTTCAATGTTTACCATAAATTAATACACATATATATGTTTTGCAAGAAAGAGCTTTTCAAATACTAAAGAATTATCCTACTTTATGATTTTGTTAACAAAAAACCAAGAAGTTGTAGTATTATGTATGAGATGTGGAGGAAGATGTATTTGGCAAATGGTACCAAAATTATAAGGAATCATAAAATTCCTTGCCTCAGAAAAAAAGGGAATTGCACATTGTATTTCACTTTTGACTTTGTAATAGGAAAATATTAATGGTAAATACTTGCAGAATTTTAAAAATAAGACAACTATCAAAATGTGAAAAAAGCAAAGACACAAAGAAAATGTAGAAAATAACCAAAAATCAGTAATCAGAAGGAAAAACCTAAAAGTATGATATGTGTTTAAATAAACAAAACCTATGAATTCAACAAACAACATACATGGAGAAAGCATCTCACTTTCTAGGCTCCTTTCCTTGCTTGTTCCATTAGTCCCAAAGCGGCAGTTCTTTAATTAGCTTGTAGACTCTAATCCAGTGATTCCATGCTTTCTTAAAATCCATTATTTCCTTCCTTGTTTAACTACTTTAGATGTCAGAGTACATCACTATAATCATTCCCTTGGAAACTTCCTTGTTTCTCTTGCCTCTCTCCTTTTCTTTGCATTCACATTGCAAAAACCCAGCTCTTGATTATCTTGGTGCCTCTTCCTCTATTACTCTTAGTGCCTATACCTGAGCAGCTGGAGGTTGCTGGGAAAAATCCTTTAGAGGGGTTTCATTTAAATTTTTGCTCTCAAATCTCAAAATAGCCATAACCATTTTGATGATAGATAATGAATAATTATGTTTCTCTGATAAGCATATGTCCCCATTTTAGCATGACCAAGAGGCACCCAAACTGTTATGGGGTGTATGCTCTGAAAGGAATTTGGCCCTCTGGTTACACAAAAGCAAAGGAAGCAGACTCTTAGTGTGAAAGATTAAAAAAAAAAAAAAAAGATTGATTTATTTCTGCATGCAAGAACTGGGGTGTAGGCCAGAAGTGCAGAGGGTGAGAGGATTCACTAGAGGCAGAGTGGGGAACAGAACAGGCAGCATACACTGCTGAGGGGAGCAGGGGGTGAGACAGGAGAGGTTTGCTGCTCCATGTGGGTAGCTCCCTGGCCAGGACTCAATCTCATGCTGCAGTGGCTAGTGATAGCTTGTTAGCACTGAGACTTTAACCCCTGCCCGTTCAGGGAGGCCCATAGTGTGAAAGATTTTTAATAGACTCAGTGAGCATAGAAAAAGAAAAAAATGGAATTCAAATAACGGTTTCCCCATAAAATTCCCATTTTTACCCATCCCCATGTGGGCAAAAACCCAAACAGGGTTTGATGTTCATAGGTATACTAAGTAACCTACCAAAGATTAACAAAGCAAAAAAAGTTCCAGCTCCACAATTTAAAACTAGATATATAAAATGTGAAAGTTAATTCTCTTTCCATCCCACCATACTACTTATTGTTCTATAATAAAGTAGAGAGTAGGGTTCTGCCTGCATTAAATGTGTTGCAGAGAGAGGAGGAAGTCACCAGGCAATTAAGGGTTAAGAAGTTACTATCACAATGGAAATCCCATTAACAATTAACTTTAAGGGGCCTCCCTAGTGGCGCAAGGGGTTAAGACACAACCTAAGAAGCTATCTGCAGGGAGCAACTCAGATGGTGCAACAGACCTCTCCTGACTTGCCTGCTGCTCCCCTCAGCAGTGTATTTCAGTCAGTCTGCCTCTTCTGTTCCCTACTCTGTCTCTGATGAATCCTCTCACCCCCCCACACCTCTGGCCTGTACCCCAGTTCTTGTATGCATAAATAATCTAAAAAAAAAGAATTAACTTTAAGAAAAGCTTATCTTTTACACAAATGATTCTGAGGAAATACCATGAGCTGTGTCGTCCTGGGTTCATTCTTTGTTTCACTTAGTATTGTATTTTGTTGGAAGTGCCCCATTAATATCACAACCAGAAGACTATAGGATGATTAAATCTTCTGATAAGTCAGCAACATAATGAGACAGTTCTCAAAATTTTCTCAATAAATTGCCTAACTTTTTTTTCCTAATCTATCCCTAATCTTTCTGTATGGATAGTTTTGATTGGATATGGAGAAAAAAACTAATTTTTGTCATATTTTGTAAAACCTGTTTATATAACTCCAAGTATTTAAATCTCCTATAGTGTATATTTATATATAGTATGTATTTATACTGTGATTTCATTTTTTTCATGTTTCCTTCCAGTTTATATTCACATTTTTTGAAATATAAATTTAATCTTTACGTGTTTCTATACAGTATAGTAACAGCATTTTTATTCTGCCTTTACATTTAAAGTTGTCTTTCTATAGCAATATTAAGGAAGTGGTACTCAAAATGTTTCAAAGCTTAATGTGCCTTATTCCTAAATTATATTTGTTTTCTTAGTTTGATGCTATGGTAAGATAAATTTTTAATAGATGGTTACTATATGTTAAAATGGACCAATAACTTTAGTAGATGAATAAAACTTGCCAAGGAAATTGATTATTCTCTGACAATACTGTTCTGGTTAAAGAACATTTTCTAAAACAATTTTTTTCATACAATTTTGTCTTAGGAAATATAAGATAGTTGAACACAAAGTTGAATAGCAATCTAAGATTATCACTTTATAGACTATTTTGATCTTTGCAGTCTGTGTAGGTATTAGCAATTATATATACATATAAATGTATATGTGCTGTATAAATATATATGACTAGAAATGAAAGAAGGAACCCTTGAAATATAAGGTGTATTTTGTTAGCTAAAGATGTATTTTCCTCTAATAAAACATGCTATCTTATCTGACATTTCTTTATCCAAGCTTATTTAATAACCATTATCAATATTTATGCTTGTCAAAAGTAGTATTTCAATTTAATTATGATTAGGAACTTTATTTAAATGTCTTAAAACCTCATTCCTCATTTAATGATGCTAACAATATATAAAGCTGTCTATATCACCATTGCCCATTTATTACCCTAATTTTTCAGAATATATAATTCATTCTAAAAGCATTTCCTGAAAAATGATCATAAAGAAATGGCTTTTTGACTTCTCAAAGTGCTCATGTGATTGCAGTAGATTTACAAGTTTTTAGAGCATAAAACTGTGAGCCGCTTTCAGTTTTGAAGGAGAGTGAGTGAAGTATGTGCACAAATGGAAGTGAGAAAACGTACCCCCAAAATTATAGATATGTAAATGACAAATTAATTAAAATAAATGATGTTATTTAAAATGTCATGTTATCTAAATTATCTTTACAACATTTGAACAATTTTTGTGAGAGTTCAGAGAATATTCAAAAATACGAATTACTTCCCTTAACTTTGTTAGCCATTTGGATTTTGTTACTGTGTTGAATTATGCCCCCTAGTGTCTTACCCCAAAAAATGTCTACTCAGAATCTATAAATGTGACCTTACTTGTAATAAAGTTTCATGGGTGTAATTAGGGCAAGGATCGGATCTCAAGATGATATTCTGAATTAGGGTGGGCCCAAAATTCAGTAATGAATGACCTTTTAATGACAAAAGAGAGGCACATGAAAACCCAGGGAAGAAGGCATTTGAAGAAGGAGGCAGAGCTTAGAGTTATGTGGCTACACTGCCAAGAATGCCAAGAGAAGCTAAAAGAAGCAAGGGGAGATTTTTCATTCTTAGGAATCAGGACTTTGCCAATACTTTGATATCAGACTTCAGTTCTCCCAAACTGTGAGAGAATAAATTTCTGCTGTTTTTAACCACCAAATTTGTGGCAATTTATTGCAGTGACCCCAGGAAACTACCAATAATACAGGAATACACTTGATATGAATTGAAGGTTTTGAATGTTAGTCTATATCTATTCTGTATTTATAGATAAGATTTTGTCTTTTAGGTATATAAAGACTGATTATCTGTCACTAGAAACAAACAAAGAAAGGTAACAGCCTTACGTACCTAGTATTCCATTTTTCTCTGAGGCTTTATTTTATCTACCATAGATGTGGCCGGTGGTTATTCATCTTCCATGCTTGATGCAATCAGAAGAGCAGTGATGGTTTCCAATATCCTTTTAATTAATAAAGTAAATGAGAAAAGCCTCACTCTCAAGGAATTCTTCAGACTAGCTACTCTCGGAGGCAGCCAAGGTAATGACGGTTTGAGTTCTCTCTCCTACCTTCTTGCCAGGTTGTGTTCTTGGACACTGTTCCTTGAAGGCACATGATGGTGGCTTCAGCAGCCATCCAGTATTCCTAACTGTTACAGGGCACGTCGCATTGCCCAGACTTAACAACTAAAGGATCTGTTCAGGCATGTGGTGGAGGCATCATTACTTCATCTAGTTCACTGTCTTTGGCAGAAAAGCTGTTTCATACACAATTGCTTTAATGGATAATTGTATGGGTTGCTTGTATGTGAGTTCTTTGAAGTAATCAGTTTTTTCTGTTCAGTCAGGTAACAGGCTCTTTATTGGCCTGAGTGGTAATTATAATGATAATGATAACAATAATTCCTGCCAAAACTTACTGAGTTCTGACTGTATGAAATGCATTATAGGACATGTTTGTGTACGTTGTTATTTCATCCTCACAGCCACTTTATTATTTCCTTTTAACCAGCAAGTTACCTGAGTGAGGCTTACAAAACTCAAGCTACAGCATGCTGTGATTTGAATACAGAAAATCTGATACCAGTACATCAGGCTCTTACCACCTTCCCCTGAATTATCTTCCTGCACAAATCCCCACTTAGACTATGCATTTCATTTGTTTATGCATACTAACTACCCAAACCTTTTGAGAAGTAGTAAGAGGTAAAAATATACTTGGTCAATATGCAAATATTGTTTATCAGCTTTGCCCAGTTCACACATGTAACCATAATTTTATTGGCAAAATAGAAATTGACAATTATATTACTTTCAGTAACTTAAGAGTACAATCTGCATGAATGATAATGAATATAGGGTGTAACTTAAGGTAGCTAGTAGGAAATGAATATAAAGATACATGTACAGAACATTTCAAGAAAAACATGTAGAAGTCATGCGCTTTGCATGCCCTGAGTCCTGGGATTTCAAAAAGTTCCATGTTTTAAATCACCCAAGCTTTTAACAAGTGAGACACTGCCCACCCCCACCTGCGTTGTGTTTGAGCATCTGAGTTTGAGTGATTGTCCTGCCACTCTTATTTTCATGGTGCAAACAAGTTGTATTTAAATAGTGCTTTTTTTATTCTAGGCTTTCTGTGAGTTGCTTCATCAGGATCCTGTGTCTGATCAAGCCAGCATGGGGTGCTTACCATATCATTTCTACCTTGTTGTAGAGCTTTTAAATCTATTTTCTGGGTCACTGGGCTTTCTTTATAGAATTTTTACTGCATAGAGTGTGTCTCTAAGAGAGTCTAAGTGGAATGAGGTGAAAGGATCCCTGCTTAAAGTGTGGCACCTTTCCAATTTGCCATAGCCTTTCCATTCACCCTCAAGATTGAGATGTGCACAAATCACTTTCAGAGTTAACATTTGCTCCAAAGACAGCAAAAATGCATTTCCTAAAATGCATTTGAGTTGCTTACCAACCCAGCTGGTCCTCTTTGCAATAATTTGAATTTAGATCAACTTATAAATTCACTGAAAGCAATTGCCTTTGTAAGTTCATGCTTGGACTCTTCAAATTCTAACAAATAGCCCTGTTAGTTCAAATATATCATCAACTATTGGTAATTGTATCTGGTTATATGCCCATTAAATACACACAATTTTCTGTTGAATGCAGTCATTAAAAACTCATATTTCTTGTTAAGAACAAATAAAAAAGTAGAGTAAAATTGGTGAAGGAGAAGAGAATTTCCAGTGATTTTCTACTGCATTCAGTTCCTCCCTTTGTGATTAGTAGAAACCACTTAACTGCTTTTAACATTTCTAATTATTTTTGCACCCATCTTCCTACAAGAATTCTTTAGCTAAGCTATCTTTTTCTTTTCTGAGAATAAAAGAGTTGCCCTTTCAATAATCTTTAAAGACCAAGTAGGATTTCTAAGTAGTGCTTAGAGTATTGCCAAGCATCTTCTGAATATCTATAACAGAAGTATAATGCACCAGATAGTGTCTGACAGGGACACATGACCCAGTAGTTTCACATGGGAATGTGTCCCTGGGAGAATACAATAAGCACATGGAATAATTCAAGTAAATAAAGCTGCGCTCCCATTGACTTGCCTCCTCTGCATGCTTCCATTTGGTACTTCCTTGTGCCATTTGTTCAGATTACAGGCTTTCAGGTGCTTTAGATTCAATATCTTCATTTTTTAAAAATATTTATTTATTTGTGCATGCAAGAACTGGATTATAGGCCAGTGGTGCAGGGGTGGGGGTGAGAGGATTCACCAGAGACAGAGTGGGGAGCAGAACAGGCAGATCTACTGAAATACACTGCTGAGGAGCAGCGGACAAGACAGGAGAGGTCTGCTGTGCCATGTGGGTCAGCAACCTGGTCGGGGATGGAACTCCTGCTGTAGTGACTACTGATAGCTTCATAGTGCTGAGACCTAATCCCTTGCACCACAAAGGAGGCCCTCGATATCTTCATTGACCAAGAATTCCAATACCCCCTTATTCTGAAACTAAATCATAAAAATGAGAGATGTTCTTCCTCAAAGTCCAATATTCATGGAACATGAATCCTAACTATGAGATGGATTGAGTAGATAAACATTGACCTAGGTCTTATTTTAGAAACCCATTTTTCTCTGGCAATCAGAAATTCTTTGCAGTTATACAAAAACTTGTCACCTTTCAGAGGTATTAGAACTCTTGAGTTATGAAGATCTTTTTCCTTTCAGAAGTGATTTTTTTTCTATTCATTGTACTTAAGGAATTTATGATAAATGTGCCTACATTGGCAAATATGCAAAAGGAAAATTATTTTTATTTTTTCCAGGCTCATTTCACTACCATGAAAATAGATCTTATCAGCTATTTCATAGAACAAAAGGAGTAAAAAGGGCAAGGAAAGGAGTTGGAGTGTTGGGGGGAGATTAGGAGGGAAAAAAAGAAAGATATGTCAGTCTTTATGTTTCTTAGAGGGATGAATAAAAATCATAGACCAGCTGGACTGCGAAGTATACTGACAGCTGAAATAGAGAAACGCCATCAGAATTATGATCACAGTGTGCCGCGGACCAGCACAGCAGTAGACGATGAGGCCGTCTCAGGGTTGAGAGACTGCGCAGGGTGGTCAGGGATTCGGTTAAAGAAATGACAAACAGACACACTTCAAGAGTGAAAATCTGAGTGTAATTTTATTTGAGTTGGTGACCAGTATATATATGCTTTCTAAAAGCATAGGAATGGCGAACATCAGTGAAGAAATCAGCTTGCTTATAGGTTTAGCTTATCATTGACAGGGCAGTGATTTACATCTGGACCCAGGCGCATTCCTAAGTAGTTAGGCTATTAATTTTTCTTTTTGTTTTATATGATTACTTTTTGTTTTAACTACTCACTATTACTAATAATTAACACGGGTGAATTTTACTTTTCACAATGTAATATTTTTATCATTTAGATTAATACAAACAAGGCTAAGTATACAACGGAGAAATTATTAAGCTAGCAGTTCAATTAATACACAGAGTTTAGTAACGTTTCATTTGAATCAGCCTAGTTATTAGATTTCGTATGTTCTTTTTTAATCGGCAAACCAATGACCTTTTAAACAGAGAAAGAGAAAAGATTTTAGAGAGACAGTTGTATTAGAATAAAGTTTGTGGGTCTAGAGAAGGTGAGATAAGTTTCCGAGCGGACAGCATTCCTGTAGTGGCTTCTGGTGGTCGTTATCTTTCAACAGGCTTCCGTCTTATCTATGTCTTCAGGCGGTTTTTTGCTGTTCTCCTCCTGCGCGCTGGTTGCCCAGCCGGACCTAGGGATTCCTAGAGGTCACTGCAGGAGGAGGTGCAGCAAGTATATCTTCAGGGGGTTTTGCTGTTCTCCGCCTGCGCGCTGGTTGCCCAGCCGGACCTAGGGACCGTGGCGCAAGCCATTAGCCCTAAGGGTCACTGCAGGGGGAGGTGCAGCAACAGTGATGATGGCAACTGTTTTTATTCTCAGATTTTTGCTTTCTCTGTGCTTACTCTGCTTTCTTTAAGTAGAAGTCTGTCACCTATTGGAATGAGAGAGTTTTTCTACTTCACTATTAAGATACTAATTTTTTTCTAGTGGCATGTTGGCAGATTCTGTCCTTGCAAACTGGGGTATTTGTATGGCCTGATGGCTCAAAATACTGACTGTTTCTTAATTCATTCCATCTTGTAGCCTTGGGGCTGGACAAAGAGATTGGAAACTTTGAAGTGGGCAAGGAATTTGATGCCCTCCTGATCAACCCCAAAGCATCCGACTCTCCCATTGATCTGTTTTATGGGGACGTTGGTGGTGATATTTCTGAGGCAAGTGAAAAAGTTAAAAGGCATTTATTTCCAGAAACAATCATAGGAGCGTCCCTGTAGGAAAAAAAGAATGGAAACATTTTAATGGAATGCAGAAGAATCTTAGAAGGGAAGCACTGTCCTTTCGAGTTACCATAATTTCCATGCCACTGATGTTGGACAAAATGGTATTAACAAGATATTTGTATTTTAAATATTTTTGTATATTTGAATGTATGGCTATAAGAAGCCATAGTATAGTCAGCACTTACTGAACACAGTATGTGCTAGGTGGCATAGGACGAAGTGTTTTCATACATCATTTTGTTTAAGCATCGGGAACACTCTTATGAGAGATAGGTGCTATTAATATTGCCATGTTGTTTATAGGGGCAGAGAGGCAAAAGGGAGGTTAAATGATTTACCTAAGGACATATGGTTAGTAATTAGTAATTAGTACACAGAATTTGGATTCAAGCCCAGGACTTTCTGACTTCCAGAGTCTGGGCTTTTGACTACAGTGCTATATTGATTTTGTAATGATAAAAAAATGAGTTCATTACTTTGATCTTCTTATTATAAAATGTTTTCCTATATATAAAGTAAATGGGTTCTTCTCACTTCAGCAATAATGCTACACAAAATATTGAGCTTTTCTAAAAAAAAAAACTGTTACCATTTATAGATTGATTTACGATGAGAGTAAATGTGATACTAAATATACCATATTGAGGTTTTTAGAAGAAAGGTGCTAGATTATGGATTGTGAAGCCACACTTTATTATTTTCATGTTGCTTATTCTTGCACTACTTTATTAGAGTGAATTTCTGATAAAAGGCTTAGTCCCAGTCTTTAAGTCATTTCTCTATATTAGACACCTTTAATTTTTTGAGCAATTTTATTGAATTAATTTAACTTATGTAACACTTTTCCTCTGAAGATTTCAAGCTTATATACCAAGAACTTTCAGGCAATGGAGATATTTGCTAATTAGAAGTAATTTTTTTAAAGGTTTATTTATTTATTTACACAAGAACTGGAGTACAGGCCAGAGGTGTGGGAGGGTGAGAGAATTCACCAGAGACAGAGCAGGGAGCAGAACAGGCAGAACCACCAAAAACACTGCAGAGGGGAGCAGCAGGTGACACAGGAGAGGTCTGCCCCGCCATGTGGGTTTCTCCCTGGCCAGCTGGGAATTGAACCTGCGCTGCAGAGGCCGTGGACAGCTTCACAGGGCTGCCCTCAACCCACTGCGCCACCAGAGAGGCCCAATTACCAGTAATTTTTAATCAAAAGACCATATTTTTATTAATAAAAATAGTTTTTGCATTGTGAAATAAATTTATACATCTGGACTTTGTCAACTACAATTGACTGTAAATTTACTTTTCTAGAAGTAGAAAATAGTATTTCTGAATATTACTTTTATTTTCCATTTTAGGCTGTTATCCAGAAGTTCCTCTATCTAGGTAGGTAGAGATATATCTCTATGCTAAAAATCTTTCTTTGTCTCTTTCTTAGCTATGACTCTGTATTTAATTGTGGAACCTTATGTGTGGAAATTTGCTTTTTTCATTCTTTCTTGTTCATTCTTGGACAATAAGCCCATTTAAATTACAATATGTAAAGAAACTATTTGACTTGAGCTTACTCCCCAAGAATACACAGTCATAGATTTATCCTAAACTCCAGAATGGCGGAACGAAAAGAAAAGGTGGTCTGTCTTGCCGCGCACCTGTTCAATTCTGTTCACTTGAGAGAAACAAATGGTGCAGAGATTCGACTCGGCCATGCACTACGTTCGATGAGCCCGGCGTCCTGAGTGACTCAGAGATTGGAGAGACACGGGTGGTATTTCTTGGGGAGCTTAGTTCTTCCAGTTCATTTCCCTCAGCAAAATATGATTGGGAGCGTGAAGATGAGTCTCTCCTTTATGATTGGACTGGAAAGGCAAGCCACTCCCTTCAGTCCAAAATCATTATGAACGATCTTATTCTTAGGTGGAAAATTCAGAACCCAATCCCACTTTCTGGTGACAATCAAAATCTTATTGACACACATGCACTTTATAAATGATTCCCTGCTTCTTTTTTCAGGAGATGATCGAAATATTGAGGAGGTTTATGTGGGCGGAAAGCAGGTGGTGCCCTTTTCCAGCTCGGTGTAAAGCCCTCGGCATCCACAGGTCTCCGGGACGGCATCGCTCTGCGTTTCCCTTGTGCCCAGGCGGAGTTAGAAAGTCAAAAAATAGTACCTTGTTCTTGGGACGACTATCTCTTTCTGTGTCTAGTTACAGTATTCACGTGACAAATCGCTTGAAGAAAGTTGCACTAATTCTCAACTCTCGAGAGGATTCAAAATTTCTCCTTTTTGAGCTCTTCAGTAGGCTCAAACATAAGGGAGGGTCACTGATGGTGTTCTTACAAGATTTCAGTAAAATTGATTTCCTGTTCGGAAGGGGAAAGAAAGGATATTGCGATAAGGGTAGATATTTTGAGATAATAAATGTGAAAAACCAGAAAACTGAAAATGAACCAGTGAATATATTTTTATGAAGGAGAAAGAGACTATGAATAAATGTTGGAAAAATCACTTCAGATTGTGTTTCAAAATTGTATACTGAGCATACTAATTTAAAAAGAGAACTTGTTGAATTTTAAAACTGTGTTTCTAGATTGACCTTGTATTCTGGAAATTTGCACTTAATGGGGTTTGCATTTCAGAGATGTGTTATTGTTGTGCTTTGCCTTTTGGGGGGATGAAATGTCAGAAATGGAATGCCACATGCTTTCTTAATATAGTTCTGTGCTTCACAGTGTTTGACAGAAGTTGGGTATTAAAGATTTAAAGTCTCTTAGGAATATTGTTCATATAACTACATGGTATAACTAGTTGTATTTTTGTGTACCTTAAGATCACCTTAATTTATAACTGTGTGGTGTTATTGTTGCTTCGGTTTTATTAGGAGAGAAATAAATTCCACCTCCACTGTTGCTAGAGTGGAGTCTTCATAAATCAGGATAAGTTCTGGACATCCAGGAGCTGTCAATACTAAAAGGAATGTTTTATTGCTATGATCTATTCTCCCCAAGAACTATGTCATACACTATAACTATTCCAACACTATATTTGCTGGAAATTTCTTACTCAGACATCAGTCTGTTAGAATTTTAAAATGAAAGCCAAATCCTATTAAAGAATTATTTAAAATCCTTATGTCCTGCCTATTGAAAACATTCTATTTTTCAATTTTATTCTATTGTCTTTCTAATGGCTGATGATTTTCAGGACGTTCCAGTGTTAAGATAGTGGAAAAAATATAGCTGTCCCACTTAATGTTTATGTTAATACTAGACATGTAGCTTCCTTATACAAAGCAGAGTATTTTTATGCTTCCTAACTAATATAGTGTGCTTTTCCATAATCTAGAATTAAAATCAAATTAGGAATTTATAATAAATCCTTAAACAGTATTGACATGAACATTATTTAAATCCTATATTTTTTCATTTAATTCTAAAAACTATAAACCAATAAGGAAAATGAATAGATTTTTAAAAACACATCGTAATTCTTATAACTAGGACTTAAATGTGACTTCTTAATATTGCCTGATAGTAAAGACTTTATGTAATATAGCTAAGACCATACTTACAGAACTGAGAACACAATTTCCCCTCCTGTACTAGATATTTCATTTTCACATAGTCATGCTCATTTAGCAGTCACTTGACCAGTGTTTTCCCCTCTGAGTTGGAAATACTTTTAGATTTGTGTGTATATCATGCCTAAAGATAAAACAAATGTTTGATCCTCTTTAAAGAAAACAACCAAGTTTTTATTGTGGGATGCTAAGTAACTCAGTTAAATTCAATTGTCAGTCTAGTTTAGTCTATGTATTGCCAGTATTTCTACTTCCTGAGCCATATCAAAGACACCTTGCCAAATGCTCCCCATTTCTCTACAGTGATGGTAAGTCTTCTCTGCTCTATCACCCAATCTCTACTGAAGGAACTTGGTTACCTGGTGGCTAACACAAAGGAGAGTCTAATCCAAATGACAAATTTGGATGAGATGTATAAGATCCACTAATAGGTAGCAGCTGTTCCCAGAATTTGCAAGAGCCTACACTTTTATCTCCCTTAAGAGTGCACATTTGATGTTGAACATCAATTTTCATCTAGATTTAGGATTCATCTGCAGTAAATATATGTAAGTTTAGCATCAGAAGCAGAAAGAATGGCCATTTACAATCTGTCAACCATTAGATTTAGCCCTGATAGTATGTTAAGACCAAACTGTATTTTCTATAAAAATAGAATGTGTTGAAAAGTTTACATGTACTTTGATCTCCCTGCATCACTTATAACCTATGTGTTTTATTTATCCAAATGCAGTGTTCCTGAATGGTGCATATGCTTTTTGCAGTATACAGGTATTAGCCATATATGTGGCCAGATGTTCTGCACTTTGAAATATTGCCTTTGCCTAATGTGGGTTGACTTTCAGAATTGTGGAAAGCAGTATTCCAAGCCAGTCATATTTGTCTCTTTATGTTTCGATATTTTGCTCTCTGATAGGAAACAAATAATTAAAACTTATCAGTCCTCTCACTCCCCTCTATTCTGCACTACTATCTGCCTTGAGTTTCATCATCAATTCTGCCTTGTGCTATACACAAGAGACATCCAGAACTGGATGGTTCTGTAGCCCACTGGACCTCTTTTCATTGTCTTCTTTAAAATTGATGATGCTGGAAACATGTGTAGTATTCTTATGCTTAAAGGTGGACTAGGAAAAGTGTCATGGGCAATGTTTTGAAATAATTTTCCAACTGTGTGGAGTGCTGGAATTTAAACTTCTTTTTTTAAGCCTTAAAGGAAGTGTTGACCTAGCCACTTTAGCATGACTTGGACCCTGACGTTTATAATGTCACAAAAGGAAAAAGCAGGGGGAAAAGTGCACAAATGAGTAGACGCCATTTGAAAACCCTAGCGTGGCTCTCCAAGCTTGTTTTCACACCCACCCTTTCCTCCCTCCCCCTCCCTGACCCCTGAGTGTGAGAGATCAAGAGTTGAGAGGTTAGTTTCTGGCCCCAAAATAGTGAAATGCAAAAGCCAATGTAAAAGCCAATCCAAAAGCGAATGATGATACCCAATGTAACTTCTAAGATGACTTTCACAGTCCACGGGTTTGGGTTCAAGTGACCTGAGTAACATGTTCTGTGGCACTGATTTACCTGTCCATTTCCTGTTCAAAAGCCTGTCAGAAAGCATTCTCTATGGAAAACCACCTTACATTGTTAAACTCCTGACCAATACTCTTAAAAATATGTATGTATTCATTGGGACATTTTTTCTCAATATTTGTGTGATTTGCTTACTGTTTTTGTGCTGAGTGAGGTCCTTTGTGCTTCAGACAAAAAATAAATGAGATGTTGTGTCTATGTTATTTTTTTGTTGTGATTTCCTCAAACTGACAGATCTTTTTCTCCTTCTAACATGAATTTTAAAACAATAGAATTGTTATAGGACAGGGAGAGGGGCACCCCAGACCCCCACAAACCTGCCTATTCTAAATGGGTTCTGCCATCCGCCGCATCAACACAAAACACATGAGACTTTAATGGGAAGGAACTTTAATAAAACTAGGAAACAATACAGGAAAGGCAAAGAGTCTAGTTTCTAAATGAAGCACCCAAAGTTACCCGTCCCCTCGTGGGTAAAAGTCCATCCAAATGGGATTGGCCCAGAACAAGGCCCCAAAGCCTGCTACAAGTCTAAAGCATCTTCCAGTGGGGACCCACAGAAAAGGGTCACAAACAACTGGACAAGCCCGGAAGGAAAAGAACAAAATCAACATCAAAATAAAAGCTGCCATTGTCACCTCCCCACGGGTCTCACCCACATCTGTGTCACCTAGTCCACGACCAAAAGACAAGCGCAGTTTCTCCACGTGTCTCTAGGCTCCATGCGCCTCTTCCAGGTCTCCTGGCTCCATCCTGCTTCCTTCCTCAGTCTCTTCTGCAGCTTCTCCTCTTCCTGCTCAGCTCCACCCTCCCTTGGGAGGGGCAGGGAACCTCCCCCTTTCCTGGGGACCACCCTGTTACAGAATGTTTAGCTGTGGCCAACATGTGCCTCCATTCTATGTTTGTCACAATACATAGCTTTTAAAAATTAAGCCATAATAAATGTTTTCAATAATAATATGTTCATTATTTTAAAATTTATGACAGGAAGCAATAGAAGATTTGGTCTATAACAGCATCCTCCAGGGTCTGAGCAACTATGAAGCACTTTTGTTTCTTCTAAAGAGAAATTTCATCAAAATACTGAGAAGGGAATTTCCACTTGCATGGTCTAGACTTATTGTGTGCCTAACCAGCACACGTCTATCCCAGCCTGGGTACACAATTTGGACACACATACGAGCACATTATTACATGGTCCAAATTCAGGATTTACATATAATAAGGTTTAGACATAAAATAACTATTTTCCAGAAGTAAAATAGACCAATGAGGGCCTCCCCGGTGGCGCAGCGGTTGAGCGCTGGGTTGCGAGGCTGCCCGCTGCCTCTGCGGCGCCGGTTCGATTCCCGGCTGCTCCCCGGCCACCGGAGGAGGGTCCCACATGGCGTGCAGACCTTTCCTGGCGCCCGCTGCTCCCCTCAGCAGTGTACTTCGGTCCTTCTGCCTGCTCTGCTCCCCGCTCTGGCTCTGGTGAATTCTCTCACCCTCCCGCGCTTCTGACTGTACCCAGTGCATGTACAAACAAAACAAATGAACAAACAAATAAATAAATAAAACACGCCTCTATAAAAGAAAAAAAAAAAAAATAGACCAATGATAGGGCTTTTAAGATTCCATGGAGAAGTGACTCAGTTAAAGAAGTGGGAATCATTAGTTGTCACTTATTCCACCTTTAAATGGAATAAGGGAAGTGGTCTCTGTTTCTTAAAGGGATAGAGTTTTACTTTAAATTGTAATTTTTCTCACTAGTTCAAACTCTTTCCTTCTTACCACCAACTGTGCCTAAATCATCATTGTAAAACCACATAGATTTTGTCATATTTGAGTTTTTCATGCTTCTGTAATAGTTGAATCTTGTTGGGATTCAGGTAGGCAGGATAAAGAAGCATGGCAAAACTTTTGTTGGGAAATTCTTTGGTGGTAGCTTAGAAAAAAATAAAACATTTGGCCTCAAGGTAAAAAGTGATAAAGAAAATATGAACAGATGATGTGGAATTTCCCAAGTCACCTGGGCCTTTCTCAAATGCCTAGATTCTGTACGCCCCAGAGGAAACTGAATCTCCATCTATAGAAAGAGAACATAAAGTCCTAAGAGTTAAAATAAGAAAAAGGCCCTAGAAAGACTATCACATAGATGATGAGGATTTTATATACTCACTTGAAAACTGAAATTTGTAGCTTCACTGTGAAATTAATTTCTGTCTTTTCATCTTGGGGTTTCTCTACTTTGGACTTTTGCTTTACCAGTGTCAGAAGAGAAAAAAAAAAAAAAGCCACAGCCCATAAATGAACAGCCCAAGGAAGCATTTTACTTTTGCTTTTTTCATTTCTAAATTTGTTTCCTGGAGCACTTGAGAGACTTGAAAAACCTTTGGCATTTTGTTTTTCTCTTTCTCTCTTGCAAAAGCTGATTCCACCCCTACCTCAGCTTGGGAACAAAGGCAGGGATGGCTTTGTGCTTGTAAAGTACTTTGA